GTTATATAATCTACTATGCACCTTAAGATACTACTATATGCACTTTAAGATATAATTTGGTGCACATGTTCAATTTAATACACTCTGTAGTTCTGTAGTTCGTAAATCGTTACCAATAGGACTATCTTCAAATCAATCAAATAAATCTATTAATTGTTTCTTCATACTCTTTTACTTTTATATCTCATTTTGCACATAAAGCTCTTAATCTTTCAATTAATTTGTTCTATTGAAAGATGTAGGGTGCAACAAATTACACTATTGTTTCTATTTAAAATATGCACTGATACTTTTTTTTATTACAACAATACTATCATTCTCCACAGTGCTAAAATTAATTTCCCCAAATATAGTTGTGTATGCATTCATACGAACTCATCTCCTTTAAATACTATATTAATTACCTTTTGTTGCACTATTGCTGCTTCGTTGCTCCATTCTTGTTCTTCTCCATTCTTCTTTCCTGATTTCTCGGGTTTCAACGTCGATTAACCTTCAATTTTGGACTCGTGTGCTTTTGTGTCGTTCCCCTTCCCTGAAAAGAAGTCTGGAGAAAGAAGTTTCTTTTTCTCAGAATGAATTTCAAAATTCTAGGGATTCGTTCTAGCTATAATCGATTTTGTGTGTGCGAACCACCGTAGAGTGTTTGACGTAAATGCCCCTAGAAATTTAATATTTATGCACTCTTTCCAAATAATCTTCCGGCACGTGCACCTGGGTCACGAGTTTCCTTCTCCCAATTTCCTTTTATCAGCCGCACGATCTAGTTAATGGTTGGTCAGATTCAGTTCTTATTTCTCTCCTAAGAGATTGTTCTCACCTGAACCTTCCCCTATATATATATATATATATATATATATATATATATATATATATATATATATATATATATATATAATTTTCGGGGTGTCACAGGCACATTCATAATTACCCTAAATTCAAACGAGATTTTTTTGCAATTAATTCCGACTAATTACAAAATGCCACCTTCTCAGTATTAGCCATTGATTGTAAAATTGAATGATTGTGATCAAAAGTTATCATTTTAAGAAGGGGTTTTTACTTGGATATTACTAATTTTGAACCAATTATCCAAAAAGTGACCACTTTTTAAAAAGGGCAAAAAAGTGATCACTGTGTGTAACTGCAAAAATTTTATGTCACTGTGTGTTCATTTTTTTGTAACTACAGCCACCACCCATGTCACTGCAACCACCGCCCGTGTCACTGTAGCTATCGCCCGTGTCACTACAACCACCGTCCGTCTCAATGTAGCCACCGCCCGTGTCACTGTAGCCACCGCCCGTGTCACTGTAGCCACCGCCCGTGTCACTGTAGCCACCACCCGTGTCACTGTAGCCACCGACCGTGTCACTGTAGCCACCTCTCGTGTCACTGTAGCCGCCTGTGTCACTTTAGCCGCCACCCGCGTAACTTTAGCTGCCACCGCCGGCCTCCGACCACTGTCCTCCGATCAGCTCCCACCACCACTCCGCTGACAACTCCCCAACTCCTAGACAACCCGACCTTGCACCACCGCCAATTTCCCACCCACACCACCGTCAATGTCCTCCACTCCCCTGCCCCACACCACCACCACTGTCCACCCCACACTACCGTCACCGCCTGTGCTCACCCCACACCATCGTCGCTGCACCACCCACAACCCCCTCTCCGACCTTCCCAGCCTCCTCCCCAACCATCCCAACCCCCTCCACAATCATCCCAGTCCCTTTCATGACCCTTCCTGCCCCCTCAACAACCATCCCAGCTCCCTGCGCCGCCGACCCCAACCAAACCGTCACCCAACACCGTCCACTACCACCTCAAACGTAACTGTAGCCAGACCGAACCCTAGAAGAAAGGAGAAGGTGGGGACCGCGACAGAGATGGAAAATGACATTCTGCGAGGACTTTTGTCATATCTGGAAATGGTGGAGCGCAAAAGAGAAATTTCGTCAGATCCGGGAGAGAAAAATGATGACCGGCAAGAAGAAGAGAGGAAAAAGACGATTGTCCAATCTTCCGTTGTGGATTTGATGGAAGTAGCGTTGTGGATTTGATGGCGGCGCGGCTTCACAGCGACGATTACAGGGCGGCGGCAGCGTTGTGGATTTGACGGCAGTAGGTCGGGGATTCTGAGAGGACCACATGTGACGACGTCGATGAGACAACCGGCAAGGTGCGATGAAGATGCGAAGCGTTGAGATGCGAAGGACGAAGACATCGGCGGCATGTTGGCTGTATCGCGCTGGACGGTCTCTTCGTTGGCTAGTCGCAGGGAAACGTCCCTTAAGTCACATTTATGTAAAAACTCAAATCCATTCTAATTTTGTCTTTGAAAAGTGGTGAGGTCATACGCGTGCCATTTTTTCTTTTAAGAATGATTCTCATTCTAAGAGTGGTTCTCACTAGACCCCATACACACACAACACACAAATAAAGTTTAAATGATCCTAAACTTGTGACAAGGGATTGCTTCGTCTAACAAATTCCGGTGCGATAGAGATTGAATCAGTCATTTGGATTTTCACTAACTATTTTAGGTGAGAAAAGTTGTGAGAAATTAGTCACTCGACTTTAAGTGACAAGGATGGTGACTACGACCACCACACTATTAGTTCGATAAGCTTTCATGTGACCCTTTCACATTCTACACAAGTTCGAAACTCTTTATGTATATTTTCATACATGTAACTAGGGATGCACGTTGGGCGGGCTAGCTATACTTTTCAGGCAAGCCCACTTGTTTGACTCTAGTTAATTGCTAAACAACCCGCGTGTATGAATTTTAAATGGATAACCCACGTATGAGTTGATCGTGTTGGGTCGTGTATAGAAAAACAAATCACTTCAGATTGGGTCTTATTTCAGGATCCCCTAAATAGGATTACAATTAGACCAAAATTTCACATTAGAACTACACTTTTTTTATTCCCAAACTAAAATAGGAGTAATATATATGCCTTTACCTCCTATTCTACCTCCAACCTACAATTTCCAATAGATTTATTTGTTAATAGCAAAAATCATAGTTTTATCAACAATAAAATATAAAAAATCGTATTTTTTTTATAAATTAATAAAAAAACCGGGGAAAAATAAAATAAAAAATAAATAAAAAATTTAAAAAAAGTAAAAAAATCTAAAAAAGTTAAACAAAATAGCTTAAAAATATTAAAAAAAATGTAGGCCACTACCTTCCCATCCCCCAATTCCCAACATCACCACCTCCGATCGTTGGAAAAAATGTCATCTTGTGTAAAAAATGCCACATTTATATGAAGATGTCATGAAGATGACATTTCATGACATTTTTATTCTTTGAAAATATACAACTTTCCATTTAAAATTGCCATCACGATGATATTTTTTCCCCAACTTGGTAATCTTCTTCGCCGATCGGAGGTGGCGGTGATGGAAGGTGGTTGAGGTCTGTATATTTTTATGATCCTTTTTTTTAATTTATTTTTATGTTTTATAATGATTATTCTAAAAATTCTATTAGAATGGACAAAAGAAATAGTAGAATAAAAAGGCTCAGAGCCCGTTTGGTAGCCCAAAAATAGGCCGTTTTGTTTGATTCTGCTGAAATTTATGAAGTTCTGGCTGAAGTGGCTAGGCCTGGGATCGGTTCGGTTCTTGTTAAAATTCGATGGAACCGTATAAAAATTGTAGGATTTAAATTCGGTTCGGTTCTAGTTAAAAAAATGGTTGTTAAATTCGGTTCGGTTCTACTTAAATTCGGTTCGGTTCTTACCTTTTTTCGGTTCCTTATAAAATTTTACTATCCTCCTGAAATGAACACATTTTACCTTCAGTTAAATAAAAAATTCAAACTTTAAATCATTAAATTATGACCATTATATTATACGTGCATGATATCTCAATGTTCAAATAAATAAATAAATATATATATATATATATATATATATATATATATATATATATATATATATATATATATCCAAGTGCAACATTAAATTTCAACATAACAAAAATCTCGGTTTAAAATAGGCATCAACAGTCGAGCAAAAAGGTTTGATATCTCCAAAGTACACATTTAATAGCTGGTAGTTCAACCTCAAAATAATATTCTTCTACTAGTAATGCACAATAGGTAAAATGTACGTAGTAATAAACAACGTAATCAATAGAATATTAATTCCTTTTTAGATGAACTCCAATACATTTACATTTACAAACAAAAAATAAATATGAAAAGTGGACTAAAGTATTCAAATAATTACTTGGATTGGTCTGGTCCACAATATATAAGGTATATTATGCAAGAAAATATTCTTGACAAATAATTACTCGGATTGGCCCGGAACGCCGTCTGGCCATCTCCATTTGAGGTTCTTCCGTGTAGAATTTTTTGATAAAATTTTGTGAGTATGTTCTACATGAAATATAGATGATATATACCAAATTTAAGCTTAACATTCAATCGGGAAGTGAATTAAATAAAATATTGAAAAACATTGCGTTTTTATATATGTTGGCGTACTGTTTTTCAATAATTTATTTAACTGACTTCCCGATTACATTTTAAGCTCAAATTTGGTGGACATAATCTTTATTTCATGAGAAACATGCTCACCAAATTTCATCAAAAAATTCCACTCAGAAGCACCTCAAATGAAGATTACTCATACAATGTATAAGAAGTTCGGTTCCTGGCTAGGAACCGGAACCGAACTGGAACCGAACCGGAACCGAACCGATGAAATACTATAGGAACCGAACCGAAAAAAGCTCAAGTCCAAAACTATAGGAACCGAACCGAACCGGAAATTTCGGTTCGGTTCGGTTCGGTTTTCCGGTTTTACGGTTCCAAGTCCCACCCCTAGAAGTGGCTGCATTGACTAATTCTACTGATTTATTTATTAATAAAATAAATAAAAAAATTATATATAAAAATAGCTAAAATGATCGGATGATTTCAACCAATATAGCTAATTTCAAAGCACACGAAAACAAAAGTTTATGAATTCTCACTGATCACCTGTTAAAGACTTAAAGGTTATATTTGCTGTCACTTTTTTCACGCTCCGTGAATCAATCCAAGGAACTTTTTCCTTCCCAGTCTCTCAAAACTTTCTTACTCTCTCTCTATCCGACCGTTTCTTGCAATCAGCTGCAGCCAGGGTTTCTATCACAGACAATACACGCACGTTAAACTTGTTGAAGTTGAAATAAGGCGAAAACGATCAGGTGAGATTCAATCCGTATATACTTTGTTCATTGTTGAATGCGTGTGCCCAGACGATCTGCATGTCATACTTCAATTCACTCAAATGCTGGCCTAAAGAATTGGTATTTTATGATGTCAAAGTAAAGTGGAGGACTTGTTGAAGAGTCACTTTTTTTTTGTATGAACTTTTGGACCTCTTTTAGGAGATGTCTCCTGCGGAGGATCTTTGGGAACGGTTAGTGCGTGCAGCACTCCGTGGGCAGAGGTCCGGTACTGATGCTAGCTCGAGACCAGTGGGAGGAATTGCAGCAAATGTTCCGTCTTCGCTTGCAAATAACAGGGACATAGACGACATATTGAGAGCTGCGGATGAAATTCAAGATGAAGATCCAAGTGTTTCTAGAATCTGTAAGTGTTAATTTGTTTATTTGTTTATTTAAATATTTCTTTAATTATTTTATGGCTGTATTTTAGAAAAGTTGCTCATGCAAGAATGACGACGACATAGATTTGCTACTGTAACTCATGCATACGGAAGATGATTTCCACCTGCTCCATTTCATAGCAGAATTGGTCTTCCAACTCAGAAGACACATTTGACTATTTAGAATAAATTTTATATTTTGCTTTATTAAATTTGAAAACGTTTTATTAAACAATAAAATAAACATCTAAACATATTATAAAACGGGAAGTACTCCACAATAAAAAGCTACTCCGTACTACATTTCTCCATAAGTCCATAGTAATGACATGCTTCTTTTTAATCTTTCGTTGAAAACTAGGGTATATTTATTACTTAATGAAGTAACTTAAACTATTAATGAATTAAGTATTACATTTGAGTAGAAGTGCGCATCATATTAGATAAAATGTATCACCTTAACAATTACTTGTTCATTTGAAAGATAATAGTTTTAGGTGCTTTTCAAATACTAACTAATAACTTCCTCTCTTTCACCAGAAGACTAACCACTAAATACTATGTAATGATTGTAATCTTAATTTTCAAGTAACAAATATCACTTTCTTAAGCAATACAAAATAAGTTAAACTAAATCTTTTAAGGAGGGAATTTTTACCCTTGAGATAATAACTATGCAATGATTGCAATCTCAATTTTCAAGTAACAAATATCAGTTTCTACCCAATACCGTTACTAGTATGCTGGAAAGTAATACTTTTCAACATAAAAATTATACTCGAAATTTGGTACTTACGCAAAAGTTAAACATTAAAAATAGTTTTTCTTCCACCATGTTGGAGACCCACCAGGGGAGCTCGTGTCCACCATCAGGGACGAACTTGGAGAACAACATATACTTAGATGAAGAATCTTTATGGTAGATTGTTAGATACATTAGTACCAGTTTATTGGCAGTCAATGTTTTGCTTGAGATAGGTTTGTAATATCAAAAAAAGTCAAAGCTATTGATTGCTAGAATCCTAATGAAATAAGGATTCGAGACGGATCATTCTACTTGAAGAAGTTTGTTTGTATATTACTCTCTCTGTTCCAAATTCAATGTCCTATTGCTTTTCGGAACACGGTTTTAGGCATTTTTTTTTGAGATTTCTACCTATGTCTTTCTAAAGAGTGGGTAATGTAGAGTATTGTTGGGTGTCAGTAAAGTAAGGGCTAATAATACAATTGGGAGTAAAATTGTTAATGGGACAGATGAAAAAAAAAGGGACATTATCTTTGAGACAGGATTAAGCCTTTTCTATTAACTATTTGAGTAAGTATGTAGTTTAAAATTTGAAGTACCATAGGCGCACTGAAGAGAGTGAAGAATGATGTGATTAAATAGTTGGAGATTTAGACTTTAAGGCCTTTTTGCATGGCTTAAGAATTTGTTTGGTTTGTTTTCACCCACATCCCAAAGAAGCAATAGAAACAACCTACTGGATGTAGGATTTTTGTATTGAACTTGCTATCTTTTTTAATAACTGATCAAGTGTCAAATTAAATGCTATGGAAAAAAGAGCTCCTTCCAAGCAGATTCAGAATTGAATGAAAATCTATACACCATAGCTGAAATTTAACTATCTTCTCTCTCTCTCTCTATGCAGTATGCGAGCATGCTTACTCATTGGCTCAAAATCTGGATCCGAACAGTGAGGGGAGGGGTGTATTACAGTTCAAGACTGGATTGATGTCTGTAATTAAGGTATATTTTTAATTATAAACTGGACATTTTCTTTCTGTGCTAATATGCACTTCCTTTTGTGGCACGTTTCAATTTTCCGTGCATTGACACAATGATACCACAGTGATAATAACAACGTACCAAATGCCCCTTGTTAGAGTCAAGGGTAAACTCCAGGTAGAGAAAGAAGTTCAGAGATAATAGAAGCAATATTGGTATATTTCAGATAGTCCTCAGGTGGTCAGCCCTGGACCTTTAAATACAAAGATGTCTAATTACATAGTTGCAAAATAGGAATACCGAACTGCTAACATAATAACTTAAGCCATGATATAGTCATTAAAACGTGTGGGGAGTTTCTTCAAGCGGTTGGACTGCCTTGGGTGGGTCGTTGTTGGACTGTGAGTGGAGTCATGGGCAGTTCTGGTAACTGCCGTATCACTCTCCTCCGCTTCGGAAATCACCTTGTCCTCAAGGTGCAAGTCGGGAAATAGCTTGGCCAGGCGGTGTGCATCAATCCATGAAGTGTCATCTTGGGAACTTCCAGGCCAATGAACTAGGACTTGTGTTTCAAGGCGCCCATTGCGCATTAGTTGTCGGGAACCACAAATTGTGAGAGGGGGATTGGCTGGACTCTCCAATAAATCTGCCGGCAGAGTAGGGGAAGCATGTGGCCCTGTGCCATGAAAAGAGCGGAGCAATGATACAAGAAAAACCGGGTGAATGCGTGATCCTGTGGGAAGCTCCAGCTTGTATGCAACAAGACCAATACGCTCCAAAACCTTGAACGGACCGTAATAACGTTTGGCTAATTTTTGGAAACGTCGTTGACCTACGGAAGTTTGACGAAAGGGTTGCAGTTTGAGAAGAACAAGATCACCCACTTGAAACTCGACCTCACGACGATGTTTGTTAGCCTTTTGCACCATCCTATGTTGGGCTTGTTGCAAAGATTCCTTCAAAAACTGAAGGGTATCATCTCGGGCTGTTAGCAAGGAATCAAGAGCCTTAATATCAGTAGAGTTGGGGGTGTAGCGGGGAAGTATAGGAGGGGTACGCCCGTACAACCCTTGGAAAGGCGTCATTTTAATGTTCTCGTTGTAGCTGGTGTTGTAGCAAAATTCTGCCCAACTAAAAAATTCAACCCATGCAGAAGGTTTCTCCATAGCAAAGGCACAAAGATATTGCTCCAAACCTCTATTTACCACTTCTGACTGGCCATCGGTTTGAGGGTGATACGCAATACTGTGTTTCAGCTTTGACCCACTAAGCATGAACACTTTATCCCAAAAGTGGCTGAGGAAGAGAGGATCTCGATCTGAGATAAGAACACTCGGAAACCCATGCAATTTGACAACCACATCCACAAAGAGGTGGGCTACACGAATGGCGTTAAACTTGGCCGGAAGAGCCCCAAAATGGGCGAATTTGGTGAGGCGGTCAACTACCACCATAATGGCATAAAATCCATGGGATGGTGGAAGCCCTACAATAAAATCCATCGTGATCTCGTTCCACACTTGGTCTGGGATTGGAAGAGGCTGTATCAGTCCAGCAGGGGCCTTGGTGAGGTATTTCGTTTGCTTGCACACTAGACACAAAGTTACATAATCTTCCACTGTGCGGCGCATGTTTGGCCAATAGAATGAGGCAGCCAACTTGACCAGCGTGCGTTTAATGACACAGTGACCAGACTACGGGGAGGAGTGAAACTCGTGAAGTATATCATTAATCAACAACGAGCGGGGGCTCAAGTAGTATCTCAATTTATAAAGAAGTATCCCATTGTTGCATGAGTAATCTGATGAGAGTTTCCCCGCCTCCAATTGCTCGTGCAAACGCTTGAGATCCGGTAATTGGGAGTTCTCAATACGAAGCACCTGAAGAAATTCCGGGATAGGGCAGCTAGCTATCATCAAATAATTAGCTTGTTCAGGGATACGAGATAGACCATCACCAGCGGCGTTATAAACCCAGGTTTGTATTCAATCTGAAAATCAAACCCTAGTAGTTTGCTGACAAACTTATGTTGCTCTGGAGCTAGCACTCTCTGATGGAACAACTCCTTAAGACTCTTATGATCTGTTCGTATGATGAAAGAGTTTCCCAGGAGGTATTGTCGCCATTTACGCACGGCCTCAGTGATGGCGTAGAGTTCCTTAATGTAGGTGGAAGCAAGCTGGAGCTTGGGTCCGATTTTCTTGCTGAAATATGAGATAGGCTGCTCTTGCTGCATCAGAACCGCCCCAACTCCCACATTAGATGCGTCGGTTTCCAATACAAAGACTTCAGTGAACCTTGGCAGTTTCAACACAAGAGTAGTGGTAAGCATTTCCTTGAGATTCTGAAAGGCCTGAGTAGCCATCTCTGACCATGAAAACTGGTCTCGTCGCAGCAAATCTGTAAGGGGAGCAGCTACTGTTGCGTATCCCTTAATAAATCGCCTATAATACCCTGCCAATCCGAGAAAACCCCGTAGTTGTCTAACCGTCTGCGGAATTGGCCATGAGATCACTGCTGCCACCTTGTTGGGATCCACATGCACACCATCCTTTGAGATAATATGTCCCAAGTATTCGGCAGATTCCTGACAGAACACACATTTCGTGAGTTTTAAGTAAAAATTGTGTTGTAGTAGGCAAGAGAATACTTGATGTAAGTGGCCCAAATGCTCCTCCATATTCTTGCTATATACCAATATGTCATCAAAGAAAACTGTGACAAACTTGCGTAAGAAAGTAGCAAATATTGAGTTCATTGCAGCTTGAAAGGTTGAGGGAGCATTCGTTAACCCGAAAGGCATTACTAAGAACTCAAAATGCCCACCATGAGTCCGGAATGCCGTCTTGCTAATATCACGAGAATGGATGCGTATCTGGTGATACCCCGCCCTTAAATCCAGTTTGGTGAAGATGGAGGCTCCCCTAAGTTCATCGAATAGTTCATCAACAGTGGGTATCGGGAAGTTATCCCGAATGGTGACTGCGTTCAGAGCCCGATAGTCCACACAAAACTGATAGGTACCATCTTTCTTACGGACTAGCAGCACAGGAGAAGAAAATGGGCTTTTGCTCGGCTGAACTATACCTTGTTCCAACATTTCCTTGACCAATTTTTCCATCTCACTTTTCTGAAAATGCGGGTAGCGGTAAGGGCGTACATTGACGGGTTTGGTGTTAGGCAGGAGGTGGATTTGATGGTCAAATGGACGCCTTGGGGGTAGAGAATTTGGAAGGTCAAACAAGCGGTTAAACTCCTGCAGTAACTGCTGGAAGGGTTCTGGTAGGTTGGAGGGCAAGTGAACCCCGGTTGAGAGTTGCGGGTTGTCGGGTAAAGGACTGAGTTCTGTGCTTAATTGGTAAATGGCATAAACACAATCAATTTCGTTTGCTTCCACTACTGCTTCCAACCTCGCAAAGGATTTGAGCTGAATGTTGGTTGCGGTTTCTCCTCGTAAGGTCACCATTTTTCCATCATATTTGAACTTCATGGTTAAGTTCGCATAATCATGTGCCACAGTCCCGAGGCTCTATAACCAGTGAATGCCCAATACCAACTCGGGGCCAGCAAACATGCAGGTCCATTTGGAAGGTGGTACCTTGCAAGTCTACCTTGACATTTGGACAACAATTCTGGCAGTGTCTCCATTGCCGATATACACTTTGAATGGTTTGATGGACTGGATAGGTAGCTGAAGTGCTTCAACGGTAGACGGTTTGATGAAGTTATGGGTGCTCCCGTTGTCAATCATGACTAAGAACCTCCGCTTGTTAATCTCCCCCCAAGTCCGCAAAGAGCGGGGATTGGCGTGCCCAGACAGTGTATTCAAGGCTGAAATGTCTCCAGAGATCTCTTCACCACTAGGCATGGCAATGGGTCGGGGCGGGGTGGGTATTGCAAGACCCGGACCCGCCCCGCCCCGTGACCTGCACGGGTCCAAACTCGTTGACCCATGACCCGCCCCATGCGGGGCGGGTCCGCCCCGCCGCAACCTAATTAGCTAGTATGTATTTTTATTTGTGGGAAGTTGTTACCAATTGAATCTACATAATGTTTATCTCTAAATAATAATTAAAAATCAATATATTAAATCAAATTCATGATACTCTAAAAATTTCAAAATTTAAGGAAAAATTACTCAAACTTGAATAGTTAATCTAATTAGTTATATTAATAATTGAATATATGTATTAAAATTCTATATATAAAGAAGACATTGATAATCCGTCGTGCATCTCATTCTAATATATATTCATATATTATAAGATCAAAGAATTTATGATTTATTATATACACACATATGTATGTTGAAGTATATTTGTAGTATAATTTAAGAAAAATATGTATACTTATATATAGAGCGGGTCGGGGCAGCACGGGTCAATTCTAATACCCGTACCCGCCCCATTGTATAGGCGGGGCGGACCCGCCCCAAATGTCTCGGGCCAGGGCGGGTTAGGTTTTTTGACATCCCTATTCACCACTTTCAGCTTCCTGCGGTTCGGGCTCGGAACCTGGAGGGTCATCGGTTACTTGATCAGGTGCAGCAATTAGCAATTGAAACTTACTACGATACTTATGCCCCGGGGAATATTTCTGATCGCAGTAGAAGCATAAGCCTTTTTCGCGTCGTGCTTGCACGTCTGCCGCACTCATCTTCCTGACGAAGGTGATGTTGCTGGAGATTTGAGAGGAAGAATTTGGTGCGGGTAGAATCCCTTCGCCTGTGAGGTTGGGAAAAGAATTGGACCCGAGGCTTCCCGTTATGCCCGTGGTCCAAGTTCTGTGCTCTGGTCCCAAAGTGGACTTGAGGTTCCCTCCTTTGTGCGTCACGCTGTGCTCCGCTTGGGTTTCGGCATACCGTGCTTCATACGCCTTAGCCAACTTGAAGGCTTCCAGAAGTGTTTGAGGCTTGGCTATTAATAGCTCACGTTTCAAGAAGCAAATTAACAGGGGTTCCTGGATTCCAGTGACCTTGTTCATGAGCCGCTCGAATTCAGCTTGAAACTCCGCAACTGTCCCTCGTTGTGTCAACTTGGCTAATTCAGCCCTGTGATCTTCGAATTGTTGGGTACCAAACCGTTGTTGTAATTTTTCTAGGAAATCATGCCATCCATATATGAGAGTGTTTCGTTTCGTCCAACGATACCATTCACCAGCGTCTTTCTCCAAACAAAATCCAACGATCTGTAATCGTTGATCCTCTGGAGTCTTATGAAAATCAAAGTACTCTTGAATGCTAAAAATCCACTGATGTGGCTCGGTCCCATCGAACTTAGGTATGTCAAGTCTCATGGTAGCTGAACGAGGCATTGGAGGTGCGGCTGGAGGCGGACCGACTTTTCCCCAGCAAAGTGGATGGTTAGTGTCTCCCACTAGAAATCCGTCAGGGGGTCTACCCATACTGGAAGAGGGTTGCTCCTTCCAGTTCTGAAACCGTGCCTTCATCGTAGCTGCTAGGGCAGTGATCTGTTCCCCTAATTGTGATTGAAGTCTGGACTCTTGGGAAGCCATTTGCTCACAGATTTGAATCTGGAATCTGTCCAGCATGTGTTGAAGAGCGGTTAGGTCGAAGGAATTGTTCGATGTGCCAGTCATCCTGGAATGAATGGCAATGAAAGCACCAGTGATACCACAATGATAATAACAACGTACCAAATGCCCCTTATTAGAGTCAAGGGTAAACTCCAGGTAGAGAAAGAAGTTCAGAGATAATAGAAGCAATATTGGTATATTTCAGATAGTCCTGGAAGGTGGTCAGCCCTGGACCTTTAAATACAAAGATGTCTAATTACATAGTTGCAAAATAGGAATACCGAACTGCTAACATAATAACTTAAGCCATGATATAGTTATTAAAACGTGTGGGAAGTTTCTTCAGGCGGTTGGACTACCTTGGGTGGGTCGTTGTTGGACTGTGAGATGAGTCATGGGCATCATGGGCAGTTCTGGTAACTGCCGTATCACACAACCATGGAGATATTGGGACAATGGGACCCATTCTAGTTTTTTACTGCTCATATGGTACTTCAATCCCTTCTAGTTTCTTTTTATTAAAGTTTTGGGCCTTCCTCCTGATTGAAAGGATTTGTATATGATGAGTGCTTGTGGCTGTTCTAGACTGACCATAACTTGTATGATTAATTGAACTTTTCATTCAATATGATTCTAATGTGTTTGTTTTTGGTGATACTTACCCTGCAATTCTTTAATCAATTATGACAGCAAAAACTAGCAAAAAGGGAAGGTGGAACTATTGACAGAACCCAGGACATTGCCCGCTTACTGGAGTTCTACAGACTATATCGGGAGCGTCAAAATGTGGACAAGCTTCGAGAAGAAGAGCAGAAATTGAGAGAGTCAGGTGTATTCAGCGGTAACCTTGGAGAGTGAGTCTCATTTCAAGCTATGCATCTTTTTGGTTGCTGGTTTTCCAAATGGATATGCTCATTGTTATCACGGCGTCGCCTAGGCGCCCCGGTGATGGAGTAGGCATGCCATGTTCAGTCGACTCGCTTAAAGTTTTCTAAGCGTCTTGAGGCGTCATCCAGTCGCTATGGCGATTCCAGATCCTGTTTTATTTTTTATTTTTATTTTTATTTTGCCAAAATGACCTAGAAATATGTTATGTTAGCACCCTTCAAGCCATCGCTGCCCGCCGCCGCCGGTCGCCTATGGAGATCCTTGCTGCGCTATCATTTACACAGCTCGCTCTCTAGTATTTCTAGATCGCAAAGCTCACACTCTCTCTTTTTCTTTGTCACTATGTCCGACCTACGTCTTTTCTTTTTTGTCGCTAATTCTGAAGTCGTTTTCTTGTTTTGTTTATCGTCAGCTGATCAAGCCCAATAACTCACTATTTTTATGCTGTTGTGCACTAGAAATTATTTTAACTGCCGAACAATATTTTAGTCCTTCATTTATGTTGAATACTTAAATTAGATAAAAGTTTCCATCATTTCCAATGGAGCCAATAACTCACTATTTTTTGGATTGGGAATATGATGGAGTAAAGCAAAATGGCTCACTAAACTGCCTGCGCTTCTTTGTTATGAAACAACAACCAGTCTATGCAATTTTTGATGATTTTCATCACGGGTCATCTGGAAACAATCTCTCTGTGCTTTAGTACAGCGGTAAGACAACGTACATTTGACACCCCTTACCCCACCGCATGTAGGAGCCTTTATGGCATTGGGGTAATGTTGTTGTTGCTGTTGTACTTGAATTATATAAATATTTAAATGGTCCGATTTAATTCTTGATGATTTTTAATATATACATTTTTAAATGTTCTTAGGATGTTTTTACTTGGACCAAAATTTGCTAGTCTAGTCCGTTTAAGTCTGGTCTGAACTGGCCTGGTCTTGTAAACGTCTGGTCTCTGTGTATTTTATAACTATGGAAGTGTGGTTTGTTCTGAACTGGTCTGGTCTTGGACTGAAAACAGTCCAAGTAAAAACATCCTTAATACTTACTTCCTCCGTTTTTATTTAGTTGCAACACTTTCCTTTTTGGGAAGTTTCAAAATAATTGCAACACATCTATTTTAGGATATAAAAACATGTGCAATTGTCTTTAATACCCTCAATTGTTCATACCAACCACCCTTCTCCTATTTCATCCGTATACATCCATTTCTTTTATTTTCTCTCTCTCTTTAATAGCCATGGACTCACCGACTCCTTATCTCACTTTTATCTCACTCCAATCTCACTCCAGTACTCTACCCATTTTTTCCCCATTCATCACCATCTAGTTTCCCCTCACTTCTTTTCTGTCGTAAGTTCATCTACATCTCCTTTCTTTGTTTATACAATTAAGCCTTTAGTTGAGCAAGTTTACTTTTTCGGATTCTTCTCCTTCATCGAGTTTGACTGAAAGGCTGGAAAACACGGAGTAGGAGGGGAAAGGAAGGCCTTGATTGCTTTTGGGAGTAATTGGAGGGCGTCTTCTTCCGGGGATTCTTTAGGGAAAATTGGAAAATTCAAGATCTATACCAGGACGAAGCTCTCTTAAATTTGTGGACTGATGTGGTTGTACAGTTGTATTGTACTGTTGGTACTTTTTCGGCCGTATGAGACTGCGAGAATGATTTATGATTGCATAAGGGCTGAAGTGGAAACCAATTACTTTTTCAATGTTTCTTAATATGTGTGCCATGGTGGTATGTTGCAACTAATTTCGAACGGAGTGTAGTATTTGAGATGGATATCAAACTCTTGTTTTGAATTATTAAACAGTAGTTTTGTATTATTAAATTCTTGGTTTGAATTATAATATACATAGTATATAGTATAAATTATAATATATTATTGTATTTATTTGAATATTACACATGTTGCTTCTTGTCTGCTGGCGCCTCGCGTCCTCGCCTAGCTGCCGTGACAACAATGGATATGATTTGGGTGTGCTGTTCCATCTTTTTGTGTGATTTTTTTTCCTGATTTCATTCCTCAATCGTGGAAAATTTCTAGATACTCGATGCAATTATTAAGGATGATATTTTTACTTATTTTACTTGTTTTGTTTTGTTTTGTTTTGTTTTGTTTTGTTTTGTTTTGTTTTGTTTTGTTTTGTTTTGTTTTGTTTTGTTTTGTTTTGTTTTGTTTTGTTTTGTTTTGTTTTGTTTTGTTTTGTTTTGTTTTGTTTTGGTTTTGGTTTTTGTATCACTTGACCTAGTATGTTTCTACTTTTTGGATGGAATGTTTATTTCTTAAGTGACTCTTTAGAATGGCTTAAGCTACAAGCGCTATTTTAAAAAGTACTTTCTCACTTATCTTTGAGTGTGTTTTTCAAAACACACCACACTTGCTTTCGTAATTATTTTTACAATCGAACTCACTTTTTTTTTCATTTCCTTTAGTAATTAAAAGTACTTTTCTTTCTAGGAAAAGCACTTTTCCTTGAGATTTGAGGGCTAGTCATCACAAACGCGCAATACCCTTTATTCGATTGATAATTAGTGTTGTTATTGCCAATGACAATCATTTCTGTCTAGGAAATTAGTGTAGTCAATGGCTAGATATGGCGCGCGCCATATGCGCCATCGCCATGAAAAAGTGGTCGTCGCCGTAGCGCCTATGCGCCATTCGTATAGGCGCCATGAAAAATGCCTTTGAGCCATGGCGATCGCCATGCGCCATGACAACTATGTGTATATGATTTTTGAACATGACATTGTTTATATAGAATACTGTGTTTACCAATTATAAATCCTTCAATTATGGACTTTTGGTAAGACCAGAAAACAGTTACATTTTCTATATGTGTGCCCATTTTTTATATTCATCATTTTATTGACTTATTTTATTCTTGTGAATTTATTTGGTATCTGTGATTTTATTATACATGTCATTCAAGGTGAGATGATGAGAAGTTGAAACCCCCACCTTGAATTTTCATGGTAGCATACAAATTCACAAGAAATGGGGACCATATTTATGGCCATCAATCCCATCATATTTATTTGTGATGCTCCTATGGCCACCATATTTATTTGTTTTTACTATTTTTTAATTAGGTTGGAGCGGAAGACCGTTAAGAGGAAAAAGGTTCTAGGAACCCTAAAGGTTCTGGGAGCGGTCCTAGAACAGTTGAGTAAGGAGCTTTCACCTGAAGATGCTGATAGATTAATACCTGGAGAGGTTAGCAAGCTTTATAAAAAAATTCATAATTGTGTTTTGGGGTTTGCAGTTTTCTGGGTTTTGTTTTGTAACAATATTGTATTCCTAATCATCCATGAGTTGCATGGAATCACTGTGCTATAACTTGTAAAGCCTGATACATTAAAAAAGAAGATGGTATGACTTGCCTGATTTTTTAATCTTTTACTGTTCCAGAGCTCCATATATTGTTCACTATTTTCTGCAGTTTATGCTGATGTTTTTGAGCTCGCTACTGTGAACAACATAAATATGGATGTGTGTTGTCTTGATTTCAAGTAATGTCTAACCTATTATCTGATCTCTGAAAACTCATTTTCTGTAATGCTCATTGTTCAGCTGAAAAACATGATGGAATCAGATGCAGCCATGACAGAGGATCTAACTTATAATATTATTCCTTTTGATGCCACCACCACAACAAATGTTATAGTTTCTTTCCCTGAGGTTGGAAATATTAATCGTTTGAGGGTTTGCATTATTTTTTTGTTCTTTATATTTCATCTATCGCTGATAAGACTAAATATTGATTGATTTGGTTATATTCTAGGTTCGTGCTGCAGTTTCAGCTTTAAAGTACTTCAACGGGCTGCCGAACTTGCCGGGAACCTTTCCTGTACCCACAACAAGAAGTGCTGATATATTCGATTTTCTTCAATTCACGTTTGGATTTCAGGCATTGCTTCTTTATTCCTCATATATTGTGTCTCATCTCCAAGTTGAAATTGCCCAACAATCTAATCCAGCACACAACCATTCACAGACATTTTTAGAATTTTTCTTCATGGCTTTTGTTTAACAGTTCCACATACTGTTTTTAACCATTTCTGTTGGCAGACATTTATATTGCATGAACAGTTAAAACAACAACATCCAAGACTTGGTCCCAAAAGAGTTATATATCCACTCAGATTCACTTAGATTCCAATTCTTTATATTGACAGGCCTAGTTTAGGAGAATTAATTTAAGCCATCAAATTATTCAATAAGAATATCAGATAATCAGATTCCATGCTTGAACGAATCAGCAAAATCCTAGTGATGTTTAATCTGTCACAAGCAAATTATCAAACAAAATTCCTATATACTAGTATCTTTTCTGTTCCATTTATTTGGACTCCCTCATTGGGTGCTCCAGAAGGATCTAGCGTTCCATTTGTTTGTAATGTATAATTTTGTTTAGTATCTTACTAACTTGGAAATGGAAAAGTAAGGAACGATGCCCTTGACATTTTGTCCATTGCGCTAATTCAGAAGGTTGATGATTTGCACGTCTAAAGAGGATGCTTCTTTACGAGGGATTCATGAGAGATATATGAACCACCATGTCTGTTCACTTAGAACTACGGTAGCAACAACATCCAAGCCTTACTCCCAAAAGACATTAATCAATCCATGATATCGGAGCCACAAAAGAAAGAAAGGTGTGGGAAATAAAAAGAGAAGGTAAGATAAAAAGGATAAGATAAAGATAAATATAATATAAAAGGATATAAGAAAGATAAAGGATAAAATTAACATGAGAACATAAGAAAGATAAAAAAAGATTAAAAGATAAAAGAAAGAGAGAGAGAGAGAAAGAAAATAGATCAATCCTCCACATGATTTTTTCGCCCTCCACTTTGCTCTCTCCAAAGCCATACTCTCATCCAATCCAAGAAAAAACATATCAGTTCTGATTCCTCGAATCCAAGTCTGTTTGGGTCTTCCTCTCCCTCTCCTTCCCGCCTCTTCTCCCCATCTCTTCACTCCTCTAACAGGTGCATCACTCGATCTTATTCGCACATGACCAAACCACCGCAATCGAGACTCCTACATCTTATCTTCCATAGGTGCTACCCCCACATTTTGTCTTCCGCCATCCAACACAACATACACATCTCTCCCACACTCAACTTTCGAATGTGACATTGTTCTACCGCCCAACACTCTACACAATACATTAATGCATGCCTAATGGAGTTCTCCACTTCTGTTGTTCTGGAGGAGTAAGAAGCACTAAAGTTGTTATGTTACTTCTGTTGTTTTTCAAATTAAAAGGAAAAAGAAAGTGGTTGGAGTTGTTCAAACCTTGTTGGGATAATGGAAAAGAGAATAGCTGTAGCAGTTAGACAAGTGTCAATATGTAACATCATATATAAGAAGATGAAAGTCTTGCTTGAAGCTTGCACATTAGAAATATGTCTTGACTAAAACCTCAATTTGAAGACCAGTCTTGTGTGAAGATTGCAATAAGAAGAGACTATGCACATGGAACACATCACTTTTTGAACTTAATTTACTTTGTTTCCATTTGTTTAGTCTTCTTCTTTCACAGCTATGTGAGTGTTCTTTTAAAAAAGTTTTACAATCTGTTTAATGAGTATAGATGACTTGGTAAAATCCATTGAGTCCTTTCTCCATAGTATGCGCCATACATGCTTTTGTTTGTGTTTTCTACTTGTAGTTTCTTCATTCTAGTTCCCAACAAAAATTCCTTCTCTTTTCCTTTTCTTCTCCCTCTGGATAGTTTCATATCTAATCTGATTGATAAGTGTACTTGGTCTGTTTGGCAGAATGACAATGTATCTAACCAGCGTGAGCACGTTGTTCATCTTCTAGCGAATGAGCAAAGCAGGTTTCGAATTCCGGAGGAACCTGAGCCAGTGAGTCTTTTGATATAAAATGTCGTTGCATATCCCAATTCATTGTGGAATTGAACCATCTTTTTTTAGCTTCTTGCATTTTGGTCCTATATAACCTTAATTTTTTTTTTTGTTTTTCCTGATATTTCATATGTAGTAACTAAGGTTCATTTTTTATGCATTTTGCTTTTAAGTTTACTTGGCTTGAGAACATTTTCTGCCTCCCAGTTCTGATGGCTAAAGTTGTCCTGTGTTGTTATTCCTCCGAGGGTTGTTTGCTGCAAATTCCAGATGAAGATTTTTTGATCATAGTCCATGGAATATGCTTAGAATTTCCTGCCTTTCAGATTATTGATTGGACCCTTGGATAATTGAGACTAGTGGGTATTTAGAATGTACGTAGTGTAAATCTTCCTAGAACCCTGTACAAAATGACCACCAAGATTTCTGATGCTTATGATAACTCATTCTTTACAATATACGTAGTAAGTGATATAACACCTTATGGTTCTAGACTTCGTAGTTAAGCACCAATTTATTTTGTATGTCAGGCTTGTTTTATCTGAGAAGGGTAATCAATATTTTTCCTAGAAATGGTACATAATTTCTTAAACCTTGAGATACATGTTGCCAGCAAGACTGCTTAGTTCTGAGGGGGGTTTTCTAACTATCTGCTCCAGCCTGCAGATCAGAATCATACATTTGTGAATCATGTAGCTTGCAAGTGTTATACTTGCTTTAATGTATTTCGTGATTTTCATATAGATTTTGGATGAGGCTGCCGTCCAGAAGGTATTTTTGAAGTCCTTAGATAACTACATTAAGTGGTGCAATTATCTGGGTATCTTGCCATTGTGGAGCAAGTAAGTACTTTAATTTAGCACATTACATGCTGTACTGAAATTGTTATTGTTTTATTAAGTAGCATTGCATAAGATTCCAAACATGCAATTCTGGATAGTAACTTCACCAATATATCCTTTCAATCTTTGCAGTCTTGATGTTATTAGCAAGGAGAAGAAGTTGATGTTCATTTCTTTGTATTTCATGATATGGGGTGAAGCTGGCAATGTTCGGTTTCTTCCAGAGTGCTTGTGCTACATTTTTCACCATGTATGTGCATTTTATCTAAGTTTGACTGGTATGACATGCCATTTAGATGTCTGCTTGGGTCTCTGATCTGCACCATGATTTTTTTTTTAAATTTAAACACTGCTATCATTTCGCTTTTCAGCATACACGTACCACATTTAATTTGCATGATTTCAGTGTGGGTCATATTCAAGGATGCAATTTATAAAAGTACACCATATTTATTCCTTTATTCATTAAAATATGTGCTAAAAGTAAGTTCCTTTGTATTTGAGACAAAGGAAGTATTTTGCAATTGACATCCTTTTATGGTAGGCTATGTTTAATTAAGGAACCTTTTCATCTTTGCAACTTCGCAATCAAATTTCAAACCCATCATCTTCCCTTTAGTTGTGTTATACATAGCTCGCTGTTGACTTCTGCTACCAACCTTTAAAGAGTGTTTTTTCCCAGGCATTCACATAATAGTGTTCTCTTATTAAGTTTGTATTAATTCTTGATTGGCCCATTTGAAAATCAGATGGGAAGGGAGATGGAGGAGATAGTACGGCAGCGAGTTGCGATGCCTGCAAATAGCTGCGTTGCTGAAAGTGGTGTTTCATTTCTCGATCAAGTTATATGTCCTCTTTATGATGTTCTTGCCGCGGTATGATCGGAATAAGTATTTTGTTTTATTTGCTAGATGTGTGTAGTTGTCCTGTTTTCATTTCCGATTTGTTAATTGTTACCCAACATCGAATGGCATGCTTTGTTTGCATGTTTTCAAATCCAAAACATTATAATTGATAGTTGCCTTTTTATCGTGTGGATTTTTTTATTGATATGGTCTTTTGCATATAACTTTTAACTTTCTAAAGACTATTACACTACTAATGTTGTGAACCAATCATTCTAAACCTGTTGGAAATGGGAAACCATAAAATTTTCTTAAATATGGATTACAGTTGAAGGTATTCGTCTAGAACGTCTCAATTTAGAGCATGATGGATCTTCTTTTCTTTGAATGTGGGGCATGGCCTTCCGGATATACTGAAACTCTTCCATCTTGGGAAAAGGAACTTACATTAATATGTAACACGTGAAAAGTTATAGGATATGATTATTGGGACTGCTTTAATTACTTCGCATTGGCACTGCCACACCGGATATTGTTGGATATAATTTGGATTAGATCAGAAGTTTAATGGATAGATTCATTCTATGTTTACTATTTAATCAATTTATACTATTTGGTTTATGACATAGAGATGCATGGTAATTTATTGGGTCCAACTAAGTTACTTTTTTATAGTATTAATGCACTACTATGATAAGATTTACATACTGCACTGCTTATGATAGAAACTAAGAAAGCTTGTTGCGAATGAAAACACTTTCTGCTTAGGGAGGAATCAGGGGTAGCACTCTGGCTAACCAACTTTATGTTAGCAGGAAGCTGGAAATAATGATAATGGGCGGGCGCCTCATTCTGCATGGAGAAACTATGATGATTTCAATGAGTACTTCTGGTAAGGTCCTATGTTGGGGTTGTAACGTCGTAACTTTCCGAATAAATAAAATATAATAACTCATGGTTATCTCATTTGTCTTTATCTTAATCCATTTTATCTTACCTCATCTTTTTATTTTTCTTATCTTATCGTTCTTCTCCTTTTGGCTCTGATATCATGGATCAATTCATGTTAGCTGATCCCAAAATCTTTTGGGAATAAGGCTTAGATGTTGTTGGATATTGTATGGTTATCTCATTCCTTAGCTGAGTATTATTTCTTATGTAGGTCACTCAATTGCATTGAACTTAGTTGGCCTTGGAGGAGAAGTTCATCATTCTTTCTGAAGCCAACACGGAGATCAAAGGTTTGGTGCATTCTTGCTCACATTCCGTGTTAATGGAATATTTGTACATGCATGCTTGAGCGAATTTATTGTGCAAGTGATGATACGAGATTTCATGCTTGGTGATAATGTGATATACTTGTATAGTGATGTCCTCAAATAATCCCTGCTGTTCATCACCTTTTGGCCCTACAGTGATTGTTTTGTGAAAGAATCAGTCCTCAGATGAATAAACGTATGTTCTAGCCGAATGATGAATTTCGCAACCGTCCTAAAAAGTATGGATGGAACTGAATTTACTAATAATTAGCCCAAAAAAGCTGTTTTCTGTTTTGTAATTACAGTTCCACATCTGAATCATGTCGTACGTTTTTGGTCAATCTTACATGTTATGACAGAAAATGGCGGAGAAATAGTTTTTGTAGCGGATGACCTAAGAAATTTTTCTATTGGTTCATGTGGCTGACCCTATTGATATGGGATTAAGTTTTGGTTGTTGTTACATTTCATGCCTCCGAGTAACCCCCTGCATCAAAATATCAAATTAGACTTTTGCCTTTGAAGGATAATATATAAATATCCTTTTCGATTTCTAAACTCTGTGTTATGCTTTTGCTGAAAAAACCCATATTTGTTCTCATTTTCAAGTTTAACAATTGCCATATGATGAAATTATGTGGAGTGTTTCTCATGTTTTGTGACATTTTTTTTCATTTTCTTGCACCATTCTAGATGTATTTCAAGTTTTCTTGGTTCCTTACTCCAAGTTTACTCACCCTATCCTACTTGCTCCTTTTCGATAGAACTTTATTAAATCTAGTGGAAGCAGCAAACGCCAGGGGAAGACTTCTTTTGTTGAACACCGGACTTTCTTGCATCTTTACCATAGTTTCCATCGCCTATGGATATTTCTTGTGATGATGTTTCAGGTGCGTAAATCATAAAATCATGTATGCTATTTTTCTCATTCTTTTGCTTTGCTTTCCCTTGATTCATTACATGTGATTAGTATTTAGTCATAACATTTTGTATTATTGTTATTGTTATTGCTGCTGCTGCTGCTGTCACGTATTCAATAAGCAGCAGCTCGATTAAGTCTACACCTGAGTCTCTTTTCTAGCGTGGATAAGGTGGATTGAAATAACAAATACATTTGCAATGTTAACCTGCCATAGTGATGCAGCATAAGAGATGCCACCCTTTTTTATATGGACATCATTTCTTTACTGCTTTGTTTTTCTGCAGGGGCTCACTATTATTGCTTTCAATGATGGGCATTTTAACTCAAAGACCTTACGAGAAGTTCTGAGTCTTGGGCCTACATACTTTGTGATGAAGCTTTTGGAAAGTATGGTTCTTTTGATATTGCAAGCTCATATAAAGTGCAGAATAATCTATATATGCTTCGAAATTTTGCATGTGCATTTGCTTGCACACGCACAAAAGGGATGTATACATGCTATGGGAATGTGTCAAGAGCAGTTTATTTGTGTATGTAAACGCTGTTTAGTGTTAGTTAGGGTCAATGCAGTCACTGAGCTGCCTCTTGTCTTTTTGCGTAGGTGTATTGGATGTTATTATGATGTATGGAGCCTTTTCTACATCAAGACGCTTAGCTGTTAGCCGAATATTCCTTCGTTTTCTTTGGTTCAGTGCGGCTTCAATATTTATTGGTTTCCTTTATGTGTACGTTTTACTAGTTTCCTGTTGCCATTTATGCTTTCTGTGCTCTTATTGTTCTCTTTTACTCTCCTTTTCTACCTCTGTTGCGTTTGACTTGTTTTAATTTATTTTATCTTGTAACATTTTTTATGTGCATTTTTTTCAAATTGAGTATATGTATTCAGGAAAGTCCTTATGGAGAAGACCAGGCCCAATGCAGATTCAATTTTCTTCAAGACTTATGTCATTGTTCTCTCCGTATATGCTGGTTTCCACTTCTTTGTTAGCTTCCTGCTACAAATTCCAGCCTGCCATCGGTCAACAAATCAATGTGATCAGTGGCCTTTTATCCGGTTTGTCAAATGGATGCACCAGGTTCTCATTTTTTAGGTTTTAAAGAGAGAGGGACATTACTTTTTTTCCATATAAAACTAATTAATATGTTTACTTTTTTTCTCTTTAAGGAACATTTCTATGTTGGCCGCGGCATGTATGAAAGAGCTTCTAGCTTCACCAAGTAAATCTCTTGTCAAGCATATAACTCTGAGCAGTTTCATTAATCGCTATACTAATTTAGTTCTGAGAGTCTGTGAATATGTTCTTTGACCTGCCTACTTTTTCTTAACCCCTAGAGAACAACCAAATGAAAGAACTTAAGAAGATTTTGACCTTTAAACGATCAAATCTAAGTTAATGTAGAAATATAATGTAGCTTTAGTTAGCTAGTTAGTTAGTTTCGGAAGTAGAATTGATTAATGGTCTTAACATATTTAATTGCAAAGAACATGCTAATGCTGAAAGATAAAAGATAGTCCAAGGATATGAGGAATGACCTAACTTTTTGTTTGTTCGAGAAGTGTTGTGAGTAAAAAACAAAAATACAGATTATGCATTTTCTAGTGTTGGCAACACAATGCAAAATACGATTTATTGTTCCATTTTTAAGCACAACATGTTTGAAGGATGTTTTTTTTTTCTGTTCCAAAGTTGATTGCAAGTGTGTAATTTATGATTTATCATTAGGTATGTGAGGTATGTAAAAAAAAATCATTAGGTATGTCATTGAATGAGACTCTAGAGAAGACCCCAACTGTAATGGGCTAGTCCTGAAGGTTTAAAAAGGATAGTTCTTGTTTCAGATAGGCTAGGTTTAAGAATCGAGGCTTGTTGAGGCGTAAGCGTCAAAATATTTCCTTTTTAATAGGAAACTACCAAGTTCCAAGTCTTCCAACTAATTTTTTGCATACTTATAAGCTCAGGAGTTCACAAAAACATCACTCCTTTGAAATCCAATGGTAAAGTTAACAAAGAGACCCACAAATGACACAATGTGGAGATTTGTAAGCTTAATCATATTCTGAAATATAGAGTTTACTCTCTGGGCCTATTCTTGCGTACTGTGTCACACTAAAAAATCTCGCATAAAAATGCCTTGAGGTGCCTCATGTCGTACGACTCAACCTTTTGGAGCGTAAGCTTCTTATCCTGTAAAAGGGCGTGAGCTTCAATACCTATTCTGAACGTCTCACTTTGAGGTGTGCCTCAAATCCTGCCTTGTATGTGTCTTTTTAAACCATGTGCCTGTCCTATAAATCAATCTATCAGGACATGTTAGCTAACTCTCATACAACAATACAATTATATCATATTTCAAATTGTATAAATGCCGTTTCCAGAGGCTTCATTTCAGAAATCTAGCAATTAAGTTTTCGCTGAATCGTGACCTCACAATCATTTTCTTTGTTGCCAATGCATATCCAGTGTGTTTGGGCAAACTGACACATCATCATGTTTAGATACTTGCCACACCATCTTGCTTGAAGAGCCACTTTCAGCTGCCACCAGATGCGCCTCCTGCGCCACTTCTGCATCGTGATAGTTTTTCCCTTTCGGGTCTGGGCTTGCCTCTTTTTCTATTGAAACCGCCTCTATATAGGCAATCCATTTTTTTCCTGTGATATTTCCCCTGCATTGACAACTAGAAACCTTGCATTCTTGTGGTAGTTATTATGACCTATTTCAACTAAGCCACAAACCCTTTGTGTATGACCATTCCACATAAGCTTAAAGCTTAGGGTGTTTATGATTATTTAACTAAGAAGACGAGACCGCTGCAGAACAGGAAGAACTGGTGAGTATAGATGCTACTCTATGCGATGTGTAATGGTGTTCAATGTACCCTTCCATAGATGATACATCTATTTCAATCTTATGGTACATATACAAGTTTAATGAGATCATTGCGTAAATGAAGAACATGAGAAGATAAATGCTGCTCTGTGCAATATGTTATAGCAGTCAAGTTACCCTATCTTGTAAATTGATTGAGATACATCTCTTAGAGTCTTATGGTACATGATGAAATTTATCAGATCAGTGCAAAAAAGGGAGAATGTGGAAATGTAGATGTTGCTCCATGAGACATGCTATGGCGATTATGTGGTAAAAAGCAATTGACAGCACACTCTCGATAGACTAGGAACTAACGCTTATAAGCGTTATATGAGATTAATCAAGGTTAAATAGGATCTAAATGGGTTTTAACGGGTCCTTAACTCCATATTTGCGTAGCAATAGAGACGATCAAGGACAGCAGTAATGCTTAGGTCAGGATTAACCGAGCTTATGCTAGGTTTTACAACTATGTGTGGTGGTCAATTTACCCTCTCATACAAATTCATTGTGATACTTCTATTCCAGTCTTAAGGTTTATGAAGAAGGCACCTGGAAAACACATAATATTATGATAATATGATGGTAAAGTCACCTCAGGTTGGATGTTCTTACACTGACCGGGTAGGTTCTCAGGTGACAGAAGTGTCACCTTTGGATATTTCACTTTTATAGGTGAAAATGTGTGGTACATTAAGAAGGGACCGCAAATAATGTATTGAATGTGTAAGTTGTCCTTGGGTTGATTATTGTCGTGTTGAGAGATGTTTCCACTTTTGAGCATGTTGTTTTCGTAGTTGGAAATGTAAGAAAACATGATGCTTATCGCATCACGAAGCTGAATACCATGTTAGGCTTTAGTGACATGTGAGTGAGTTGGTATGGACAAAACATTATGTCAAGGAATTGCGTTATGACACTTGAAATAACATTGATTAGCGAAATAATCGACATTGCTTTGGATCTAGTGTTTCATGAGAGGACCAAGCACATTGAAGCCGACTATCACTTCGTTTGAGAAAAAGTCGGTTCTTGATGTATTCCTCCATATTTTGTTAACTTGGTATGCCAGTTTCTTGATATTTGCATATAGTATCTTAGAGGTCCTAGAATAGATTTCATACATAGCAAGCTTGATAGATATACATTTCGCTTGTAGAATTTTACCGCTTGATGGGGGAATATTTTCTCTAGTAGGGAACTATTGTACATACTTCACAAATCAATACAATGCAATCTTCTCTTGTATTTCATAAAACCTTGCTTTCATGCCTAGACATGATTAATATTTTGTGTCGAGGATCATAACATGGACTCGGTATTTGAAACTTTATATACTGAAACCTTTCCTATTTGTATATTACTTCTTGATGGGACAAGTCAATTTGTAACTATTGACAATCTGGTTTTTTCACACCTTCATTCCATGATGCAGATATTTTGTCTTTTGGCTTGCTGTTTTGGGAGGCAAATTTAGTTTTGCCTATTTCTTACTAGTAAGTTTCAAAGTCCTAATTTATGTATATATTTTTGGTGGTAAGTTTATCTCATGCTATATTGACAAATTTTCAGATTAAGCCCTTGGTTAGTCCCACAAGGTTTGTGGTTGGAATGGATATCCAGCAATACTCCTGGCATGATTTTGTTTCCAAAAGTAAGGATATTGTGTTCGAAACTATGTCTGGTTTGTCGTGGATTCATTTTATAATGATACGGGGATGATCCCTCTTTCCACTTTGGCATATGGAAAGTAGACAATTTCTTAAATCTTTAATTTTTCTTAGACGAGTAGGTTCGAATTTTTATTTATTTAGCCTTGTTAAGAAAATTGGTCTACTCTTTTAGGAGGAAATATGGACATTGAGTTTGGTTAGTCGAAGTGCTATTATAAGTTTTTTTTGTTCAATGTGGTACATGTAGGTGCTGCACATGAATTTGGTTAGGGAAAGTGCTATTAGTTCTTTTTCGATATGGTACATGTAGGTGCTACACAATATTAGTTTTCTTAATTGCCGTTTGAAACATTTGTTCACAAAGAAGGAAGTGAAATATTATACTCCGTATTAATAATGCACAGCTAGATGACAACAATGTAGGGACTATAAATGTAGGTACTAGGCGCCACAATGTAACACCCTGTTGTATAGAACTGCGTCTTCCCTCCAGGATAAATTGCTATTCGCTGGAAATGGAGCCTAAGAAAGAGATTTAATTTTTCCAAAGTTGTGCCTAGGCCTTAAAAGACTCGAGCACTCAACAAAACAGAAAGGAAGAAATATGGAAATTGAATTTATTTAGGAGAAGCTCTGTTATATGCTCTTTCTCTATGTGTTAGATATACTCTACGCATTGTAATTAGTATAAGTCAGTTGCAGATCAGTTATTTAGTTAGTTTAGTTGAGCAGCCCTCTATATAAACTCTCTGTACACTTCATTTCAATCTAATGAGAATATACTACTTCTATCATTTTCTCTCTCTACTGTAATTCTTTTATGGTATCAGAGCTTTAGCTCGATCCAACCATGGTGACCTCCACGACTACTTCATCTTCAACTGCTGGAAGTTCTACGCTTCCAGTAATCTACACTCATCCTCTTCTGATAAAACTTGATTCCAATAACTTTCTATCTTGGAAGCATCACGTTGAATCTGTTATGCGAGCTCACAAACTCCTGAAATTTGTTGAAAAACCTAATATTCCAGAACAGTTCATCGCTGGCGGCAACAGGACCAGATGTTATTTTCCTGGCTTCTCGCATCTCTTACTGATTCGCTCCATGCTCGCGTTATTCAGTGTCGCCATTCATATCAAATCTGGAATGAAATTCACAAGTTCTTCCAGTCAAATATATTCGGACGAGCTCGTCAGCTCAAATCCGAGCTCTACAACACCGGCAAAGGAGGTCGATCAGTTACTGACTCTCCTACGCATTCAAACCATCATTGACAGTCTTACAGCCATAGGAGAACCTATTTCTACCAAGGATCACATTAGTGTCATCTTTGAGGGACTTCCAGAAGAATATGAGGCTCTTGTATCATCTGTTTCTTCACGAAGCATTCTGGATCCAGTCTCTCTCTCTCTCTCTCTCTCTCTCTCTCTCTCAGAGCTTGATGCTCTACTACTAGACAAGGAACTTCGAGTTAGAAAACAGCGTGATTCCTCACAACAAAATCTGCTCTCTGCAAATGTTGCTCGCTTAGAAACCTCAACTCCAAGTAATGATTCTACACCTCAAAAATCAAAATACTACAGAAAATACCTCTGCTTATGTTGCTCAATTTCCTAATTCCAACAATAATGCTTCCTACAGAGGCAGAGGTCGTGGAGCCCCCTTCAGAGGATGTGGTGTCGTTTTGGAGGAAGAAATCCTGTTATTTGCCAAGTCTGTGGTAAATCTGGTCATATTGCATTGGTGTGCTATCATCGTTATAACCCTACATATACTACTGCCATTTCTGGCAATTCCAATTCATCTTACTCTCAACAAATTTATCCATATCCTTCACAGACTTCAACATTTTCAACTCAACCTAAATTTCCTCCAATCTATCCACAACAAAACCTTCTAGAAAACTACAACTGGGGTCATTCTCCATCTCAAACACCTAATGCAGCCTCAGCCAGATGTCTCATGCTCCTATTACTTCTCCACCCAATCCTTATGCACCTACAACAAGTTGGAAGCAGCAGCTCCGAACTCCTGTACCCACTGCAGCTTGGGCATTTGCTAACTCCTGTATACTAGAATCTCCTCCACATTCTCACACCTGGTTTCCAGATTCAGGAGCAACACGTCATGTTACTGTTGATCCACTAAATCTGCAGCACATTGAACCTGCTATTACAATTGATAAGCTCTTTATGGGCTATGGTCAAGGTTTGGATATTAAGTCTATTGGTTTCTCTTCCTTTTCTTCCCCATATCATTCCTCTCATACTCTTTTCCTTAACAGTATTCTTCATGTTCCTTCCATAACCAAAAACTTACTTAGTGCAGGGGTAAGACTGCGTACATTCGACCCCCCTTACCCCACCGTAGGTGGGAGCCTTTGCGGCACTGGGGTAAATGAAAAAGAAAAATGATGATAGTGTTAGTCAATTTGCCAAAGATAACAATGTCTTCTTTGAATTTCACCCTCATGAATGCTTTGTTAAATCACAGGCTTAAGAATGTCCTGTTACATGGAATTCTGGGTGCAGATGGTCTCTACAAGTTTCAGTCTCTTCCAACACTTGTTTCTTGTCAATCTGCTTCTCTCAATAAATCTTGTAATAACATTCGGTCTTGTAGTAGTTCTATATCTTGTAATCTGTGGCATTTAAGGCTTGGTCATCCTCATCTTGAGGCTCTAAAGTCTGTACTGAAATATTGTAATATTCCTACTGTTAATAAGAATGAAGTTGACTTTTGTTCATCTTGTTGTCTTGGCAAAGCACACAGACTGCCATCCTCCCCCTCCACTACTGTTTTCAACTCACCCTTTGACTTAATATTCACTGATCTATGGGGACCAGCTCCTATTTCATCCTTTGATGGTTACTCCTACTATATCTCCTTCATTGATGCTTTCACAAGATATACATGGAATTATTTCCTTAAAAAGAAGTCTGATGCTCTTTTAGCATTTCAAATGTTTTATCAGTACATCCTCAATCAGTTTTCTGTCTCTATCAAATCTATTCAGTTTGATTGGGGAGGAGAATTCAGATCCTTCACCAAGTTCTTAACTGAAAAAGGCATTACACATAAAATCATTTGTCCTCACACTCACCATCAAAATGGTGTAGTGGAGAGAAAGCATAGAACCATTGTTGAGAAAGGTCTGTCAATTCTAGCTCATTCTTCCCTGCCTCACGAATTCTAGGATACTGCCTTTGCCACCTAAGTCCATCTTACAAATAGAACTCCTTCAAAGTCAATTGCCAATTCCAGTCCATATTTCAAACTTTATGGATCCATTCTAGATTACTCTTTTCTCAGAGTATTTGGATGTTCATGTTTTCCTTTTGTCAGGCCCTACAATAAACACCAAATGGATTTTCACTCTGAAGAGTGTGTGTTTATAGGTTACTCTTCCCAACATCAGGGTTGCAAATGGCTCTCACCTTCTGGGGAAGTCTACATTTCCAGAGATGTTGTTTTTAATGAGTCTAAATTCCCTTAGACTATTCTCTTTGCTTCCACTATCACTCAGCCCTATACCAACTCTTCTTCACAATCTGCCCTCATAACTATCCTTAATCCAAATTCATCACCACTTTTTCCTAATTCCTCTCAATCTAACTCATCCACATCCTCTCATACTTATTCTTCACTTCAAACTGATTCTTCTCACTCTGTCCCTACAGAAACTCCATTACAACCTGATTCATCCCATTTTATCTCTTCAGAACCTGGTTCACATATTGGTTTAACACCTATTTCTTCATCTGATTCTTCTGTACCACTCACATCCTCCTCATCTCCTTCACCTATTATTCCTTTGACTAACACTCACCCTATGAAAACTAGAGCCAAATCTGGAATTGTTAAACCTAGACTTAATCCTACCTTACTGTTAGCTCATTTAGAGCCCAGATCAATTAAGCAGGCACTCTCCTCTCCTCAGTGGTTTGCTGCCATGAAATCTGAATATGATGCATTAATTTCTAACAATACATGTTCTCATGTTCCTCTTCCTCCAGATAAACAGGATAAACAGGCTATAGGCTGTAAATGGGTGTTCAAAGTAAAGGAAAATCCAGATGGTTCTTTGAACAAGTTTAAAGCAAAATTAGTTGCAAACTGTTTTCATCAAAGGTTTGGTTTTGACTTTGGAGAAACCTTTTCTCCAGTTAAACCTATTACCACCTAGATTCTTCTTACTCTTGTTGTCTCCAATCACTGGTCTATTCAACAGTTGGATGTCAACAATGCCTTCCTTAATGGGGATCTTAATGAAGAAGTTTATATGGTATAGCCCCCAGGATTTCAAGCAGAAGACACATCTCTAGTTTGCAGACTTCACAAGTCTCTATATGGCCTGAAACAAGATCCTAGGTCCTGGTTTCACAAGCTTTCTACAATCATATACAATGCTGGGTTTAAGCAAAGCAAGTGTGATCCTTCCTTACTTATCTTTACATCTTCTGGTATTCAAATATACATCCTCATTTATGTTGATGACATCCTTGTCATTGGAAACAATTCTACTGCTATCCACAAACTCATTCACAAATTGCATTCATCGTTTTCTCTTAAACACTTGGGAGACATTGATTTCTTTATAAGAATCCAAGTTCACAAACTTCAAGATGGCAGCCTACACCTATCTCTCTGGCACTATTACACATGGAATTCTTATCAAACCCATTTCTTTATCCACTTAGCCTCTACCCATTTCAGCATTTTGTGATGGTGATTGGGCTTCTGATCCTACTGATAGAAGATCTACATCAGGATCTTGCATTTTTCTTGTTCCAAATATTATTTCTTGGTGGTCCAAGAAACAGCTGCGTGTTGCCAGATCCTCAGCAAAGGCTGAGTATAGAAGTATGGCTGATACCACAACAGAACTTCTATGGGTTCAGTTTCTTCTTCATGAACTTCAAGTACCTTTTGTTACTCCAAAGATCTACTGTGACAATCTCAGCACTGTTCTAAAAGCACATAATCCTTAGTTACACTCTCGCATCAAGCATATGGAGATTGATCTGTTTTTTGTGCGAGAGAAAGTTCAGTCGAAACAACTGCAAGTGTTTCACATTCCTGCTCAACACCAGCTTTTGCTGATGTTCTAACTAAACCATTGTCTGCTTCATCTTTTGTAATTAGTAAGTCAGTTGCAATCAGTTAGTTAGTTAGTTTAGCTGAGCAGCCCTCTATATAAACTCTCTGTACACTTCATTTCAATCTATATAAACTCTCTGTACACGTCATTTCAATCTAATGAGAATATATACTTCTATCATTTTCTCTCTCTACTATAATTCTATTACTATGTGGCATGTGAGTCAGTGAGTGTGTTGCACAATATTAGTTATCTTGTTGGTATTTGAAACACCTGTTGACAATGAAGCAAGAAGATTTATTGTACTTATATATTGACATACAACTAGATTACAGCAAATGGTGGGCTATACATTTTGGTACTTGGCACCACCTCGAAAACAACCATGATATGTAACCGCTCCTCAGGATAAAGCGCTATTTGCTGAAAGTGGAACCTTAGAAAGAGGACCCCTCTTCCAAAAGTATGAATTTTGACCTAGGGCTCAAAAGACGCAAGCATTTAACAAAAAGCTAAGAACTTGTTGGAATGATAATTTCTACATGGACGGGCCTCGGCATGGCACTCATGGGCTCACGGCTTTCCCCATCTTCTTATTAAGTGACTGAAAATTTTAAGCACTACAAAGAGTAACAATGTGGCCTTCCACTTAGATATCTTCCAGCCATCTTTTTGCTTATTTTTGGCCCCCTCGTTTCATCTTTGTGACTAGGTGCTTCAAAGCTTGATCAAGTGTAGCCCAAATTTTCATATTTTTTTTAAAGCTAATCCCAAGCAACCTAAACAAACAAATAATTGAATAAATCATTGTGACCTAGTGGCCATGGAGACGTGTTGGCAAAAATTGTTTAGGCCACCTTGAAATTTATGAGGGACGGCAGGTTTTGGCTGTTATGGCAAAGTACTGGTCATCCACCATTAGTAACACATTAACAGTTGTAGTTTGCAATGTGGGGCTAAATTAATGATGAGTGATAAAAATGCTACCAAAATGCAAGGAAATATGCGCTTATTATTTATTAATATGTTACTGGGATGAGTTTGTGCTAAATTTTTCGCCTTCATGTCTCGGGAATTGATATTCCTAGTGCTTTGTATGTTTAGTCCATAGTAACTGAGTAGGATTTCCGGAGCAAGAGTTCTTACTTAGTTATTTTTTGGTGCCCTCTGCATGGTTGTCATGGCATCTTCTAGCGGGGGACTAGGCGTCCAGGCGGTGGAGAGTACTCCCCAGGACCGATTGTCTCACCTGAAGAGTGCCAGACATTGAAATGCGTCGCTTAGGCGTTCATACACATCATAGTGACTGCCATAATCGTTTTTTCACCAGATCCATTTTGACCCAGTAACCAGCCTGTTTTCCTCTATAATTTAAATTTTAAATAGTAGCATCAGACTTGAAAAAGAAAAAGCTTAACAGTGAAGAAAAGCGCTACCCACAAAGTTTAACATTTCTTCATTTTCTTCTTTCTTTTTTCCGATTCTTCATATTTTCGTTTATTTATATTTATAGTTAACTGTATCTGTATGCCTTTTATCTTTTCTTTAGATATCAATCATTTGAATCATCACTAGTTTTTGCTATAGTATTGTAGTTCAATTATTCAAAATGGGAAAACAAATCCATATTTTGAATTAGTATGACAAAAAGTATTTTATTATTACATATTTTTTATATTGTTTTATATTACCTTGAGTTCAAATTTCGCAAACTGCTAGTTGCCGTTTAATTGTCGCCTAAGCGGTAACCTAGCTGCCTAGGCGACAAGGCAGTTCTCTGGCACCACACCTCGCATAGTCGCAGTGACAACCTTCGTGGCTTCGTCCTCTTGATCTTTGCTAATTCGGTCATGTGGTTGTTTGTCTTTTATCCTTGCTTTGTTGGACTCCTGTATTGAGTGTTTTGTTCAACTTGGATTTCGGGATGATTTATGTTTTTGTTGAATACTTTCCTGGTCCATTTTCTTTTTTGGAAGATTTATGCTCTTGTTGGGTATATGAAGTTGCTCTATATGTATTGCACTCTTTTCAGTTTTCTAATTATGAGCTTCAAAGTTCAAACCTTTAATTGTTAAAAAGCTTACCATATTCACTGGCAGATAATCATAATGCTTTGACCATCGCAAGCTTCTGGGCTCCTGTGTTTATAGTAAGAATCTGCTGTTAACTATTTTCCCTCTTTTTCTTGTTCTTTTCTGTCACTTTTAATACCAAGTGAACTTGTGCTGTAGTCTTATTCATTATAGCTCTTATCCCTCCGATTGAAATGTTTGCTACACTTTCCTTTTTGGGGTGTATTTTAATTTTTGGTACACTTTCCCTTTTTGGTAAGTTTTCCCTTTAAAAACACACAATTACCCTTACTTGTTCTACCCTTCATCTTCTCTTTCATACTTTTGCACCCTCCCTCCTACTTTTTCTATATTCATTACCCCTACTACTTTTCCTTTAAACATTGTGCCAAACCCTATTGTAGCAAACATTTCAATACGGAGGGAGTACTACACAGTATTCCATGTACTTAGTTTTTGTCTTTGCACAAACTAATTGTAAGATTTAGTAATGCCTACAGGTTAGTTTTTTTTGGATGTTTAGATAATTCATCAGTCAGGCATTTAGATAATTCATCAGTCAGGCATTTAGGTAACAGGTCTCGTCTAATACAATTTAAATTCCATATAACTGTCTTTACTTCCCCTGAAATCATGCTCGCCCATGGACTGAACAAGTCAATATTAAGAGTCTCTGAAAGAAGGTATCTTACATGGTTCAATGGAAAAGAGATGTTAAGTTTATCAGGTGCAATTCTAGTGAATCTTGGTTCATGATTTTTTAGAATCTTTATTCGACATAAAGTGTTCTTGGATTTTATCTTGGCCTGCGGAAAAGTTAATCTAAAATCTGAATCTCTTCCAATCATTTTAGCAGTTGATATCAAAAGTTCAATCCTTGAGCATAGATCTGCATGCCTTATGTTAAAGTATAGAAACAGTAATATAGTTTTGATAGTTTTTGTAGCATCATAGTTTCGTATTCTGATATTGTAATAAGGTTTAAGGTTTAACATTCATTCACTGCTGCATGAATGACTGCATCATGCTTTTATTGCCATCTGTTACAATTTTCATGGCTTCTTGTTTCCAAATGGGTTCGTTTGATAATTGATATGCAGATTTACCTCCTAGACACTCATCTGTTCTACACTATTATATCTTCTATCTGTGGTTTCTTGCTGGGGGCAAAGGACCGTCTTGGGGAGGTAACTATTTTATCGTTCAATTTACTTTCACTAAATGTGACTGCAGTGTTTATTGGTCGATACCCTTATTTTATGTGTTCAGTCAAGATTGACTTTTTTTAATTTCAGATTAGATCCTTGGATGCTGTTCAAAAACTTTTTGAAAGATTTCCTGCAGCTTTTATGGATACTCTTCATGTGCCCCTTGGCATTAGGTGCATCCATCTTTCTGTCTTGTTGTTATTCATTGATTCTCCATTCTCCAATCAATTTATTTGCAACATGCTTGGTGTATCTAAATCCAAATTTTATATTTTGTAGGGAATCCATGCTTTCATCTAGTTTGGTGAGTCATTTTGACATCCAGTTCCGTTGTATTTTTAGCTAATTTGACATGAGTTTATTTGATGACGGGCCAAAAGAAGCGATGTTGACTATCTGTTTAGGTGTATAAGACTCACAGGAATGGATTTGATGCATTTACTTGACTGAAAAAATTTCTGTTGTCCTAGGGAGATGAAACCTTGCCCTTTCTTCATCTTACTAATTGTTGACAGTTGACTTGACATATTAGTTTTTTTTATTTTGGGTTACTTTTGTTTTGCTGGGTGGGGGTGTTATGCATGGTCAGCGATTGTAACCATATAGATTATGATTTAAACTGAGGCCTACCAAATACTGATCATTCAAGTCAATTGAGGCCTACTAATGTATCAAATGAGCTATTAAAAGGGGGATCATATCTGATTGTCTATTATATATAATGCTGAAATGACATATTATGACGCTCATTTGATACTCATATGTGAATAACGTTCATGGGCTGTAAACTTTGATATAATCATTTAAATTCAGGATATTATCTTCTCTGTGTTCCATATTTTTTCTAATTTGTTAAATTTTCATAAGAGGTGGATCTAATCCTCCTCCCTTACACAAGGGTTAATTAAGGAACGACAAAGAGCTCCTGAAGGGGTGTATAGCTTGATTCTACTGGAGTTTGAACTATTGGTCTTTATATTCCACATATTGGCGTATCTAATGTTCTGAATTCTAAAAACTTTGTCTCGAAATTTTTGTATATTTTAGGGAAAATCGCACTTTCAGTCCTTCAAATAGTGCCCATATTCAAATGTAGTCCCTGTATTTTCAAGTGTGTTACTGTCACCCATCAATTATCCGAACTGTTGTAAATGTGGTCCTCCCCACATTGTAAATGTCAACCCTCAAAGGACCACATTTACAACAATTTGGACAATTGAGAGGTGACATTTACAAATGTGAAAATACGGGGATTCCATTTCAATATGGGTACTAATTGAGGGACCGAAAGTGCAATTTCCCTGTATTTTATCTGTTCTTTCTTTATTTCAACAATTGTTTTTTATTTTTTGTTTCAAGATTCTTCATTTAGCTGTGAATTGTCTCCAGTAATATATGTAGCTTATGGAATATGAAGTCAGTAGTCTGGCAGTTTTGATTGATACTTCCTTCACTCACTAATGTCTATTCTCGTAAACGAACATGGGTATTTAATAGAACATATTTACACAGTTGGAGAATTAGGACATTATGTACACATAATTTCAATTATGTCCTCTTTATACATATATTCAAATATTCAATGCATACTTATTTTTATTTAGTTTTATTTCAAAGTGATATTTTTGGTTGGGTGTTTAGATACTATTGTAAGCGATTGCTTTTGTTGGACATAAACGGCATATCGAAATAGTGAGGATTTGGGGGTAGTTGCTTACTTCTTAAATCCTTCAGTTCGATTGATTTTGCAATTAAGATGATACTCTTCAATGAAAGGAAATGGAGAGGAACAAACTGGATGCTGCTAAGTTTGCTCCTTTTTGGAACGAGATTGTAAAGAATTTGAGGGAGGAAGACTACATTAATAGTTTGTGAGTTTTACTTGCAGCCATTGCATTTTCTAAGCATCGTATTCTATTGATGGACTGTTCACTTAAGCTCACAAGACACTTCATATTTGCTAATTTACAGGGAAATGGAGTTACTTTTAATGCCAAAAAATTCTGGGATAATTGAGAATATTCCCTTGGTTCAATGGCCCTTATTCCTCCTAGCTAGCAAGGTCACTCTTTGCATCAGAGATCATAATATTTATTTTGTTCCAATGGTAACTAAGTATGGAAATACTGTTATTTTTTCATTTTTGATAATTGTGTATGTCTTTTGGTCCCTTGCAGATATTTCTTGCAAAAGATACTGCTATTGAGAGTAAAGATTCTAGACTTTCACAAGATGAGCTGTGGGACAGGATTTTGAGGGATGACTACATGAAATATGCTGTTGAAGAATGCTATTATACCCTTAAATTAGTCCTCACGTCTGTATTGGATGATGAGGGTAAAAAGTGGTAAGTTTATGTCTTAAGAAATACATGATTGTCTCTTGCAAGTTAATGACATTAACCGTTCACCTCACCTTGTGCTATTGCAGGGTTGAGAGAATATATGATGAGATTCAGGGGAGCATAGCTAACAGGAGTGTACTTGTTGATATTGAATTGAATAAACTACCACTAATGATTCAGAAAGTTACTGCACTTTTGGGAATACTGGTTTGTATTTAAATTTCTGATCAATGCAGATGATCTGCCACATTGTATATTATGAGCTATTTATTTATTCCCATATGCAAGCATTGTGTTGTATGTGTATGTGTATGTGTATGTACTATGTATATGTATATGTATATGTATATGTATATGTATATGTATATGTATATGTATATGTATATGTATATGTATATGTATATGTATATGTATATGTATATGTATATGTATATGTATATGTATATGTATATGTATATGTATATGTATATGTATATGTATATGTATATGTATATGTATATGTATACGTATACGTATACGTATACGTATACGTATACGTATACGTATACGTATACGTATACGTATACGTATACGTATACGTATACGTATACGTATACGTATATGTGTATGTGCTACATTGATACATTCACAAATCTCAAAATAGGGACTGCTGAAATATTCAACTTTGGCTTGTAATTTATGAAGACTGATACAGTGCATATATAAAGATATAATGGCCCAAAACCTAATGTGTTAGCATAGAGTTTCTAAACCAGATTTCAAATGTCTATACTTAGTTATTTACTCCATAACCTGGAGCATATTTTATTCTGCAAGTTCGATACATTGTAACTTGAATCGATGTTTACGATGAACTTGAACTTAAAACATAACTTTACATTTAACTTTAATTTAATTTGGATTCCACATTATCCAATCAACATGTATAGTTTCAACTCCATCTTTCTGTTATGTCTGTTCCTTACATTCTTATTATTTCTTCATCGAGGAGTTGGCAAATTAGGTGTTGTTGATGACCCTGGTCATATAAGGTCTTGATTGCCTGTTGCATGAATCCGTTAAGATGAATAAATTTAAACAAATAATGTTACTTGAGACAATGCCGACCAGACCAAAGGGTATGTTTCATCGGACAACAATTAGGCCTGTATTATTGTATGACGTAGAGTGTTGGGCGGTGAGACAATGTCACATTCAAAAGATGAGTGTGGCTGAGATGTGCATTTTGCGTTGGATGTGTGGATATACGAGTAATGACACAATCAGACAAAAGAGGAGAGTAACACCTATTGAAGATAAGATGTGAGAGTTTCTATTGCGGTGGTTTGGCCATGTACGTAGAAGAGGCGGGGTGGAGAGGGAGATGAAGACCTAATCGTACATGGCTTAGAGGAGTCAAGAGTGATATGCTACTTCTTCGGTGGGATGAGAGTAAGATTTCAGATAGAGCAAAGTAGAGGCAGAATATTCGTATGAAGGATTGATCTCAATTCATTTTTTCTATTTTTTTCTTTCTTATATTCTTTAATCTTTTTATCTTTTTTATCATATTCTTTTTTATGCTTTTTATAACAATAAGACTACTTTTTGTTTATATAAACCCTCAACTTAGAATTTGATAATTCCTAAAGACTAATATAATTTCTTCTGTAGAGAAATAGTGAGCAACCGAATGGGCTAAATCCCTAGTGTTTCAGAGAGATCTTTACATGTTGCATTTATACTGCCTTTTCACAAAAAGGAGCTGTTTACTATTTTGAATTATTTTGACATGGCCTCTTGGATTTTGAGATATTGTTAGCTAACGTTTAAGTTATTGTCTACTGTGAGTTGGTATGCTATTGTGTACACTTTGCTGTCTTTTCTCCTGTACAAATTACTTTATGTGTTCATATACTGCTCTGGCTGTCCATTTTTTTGTGTGTAGTTATGGCCGAAGTTGTTTTTTAAAGCCAATGTTCACTAGCCCCGAACTCCTTTGTTTGGAATTAAGGCTTGGATGTTGTTGTTGTAGTAGTCATGGTCGAAGTTGCCTTTTATTTTCGTACGTATGTATGTATGTATGTATGTATGTATGTATGTATGTATGTATGTATGTATGTATGTATGTATGTATGTATGTATGTATGTATGTATGTATGTATGTATGTATGTATGTATGTATGTATGTATGTATGTATGTATGTATGTATGTATGTATGTATGTATGTATGTATGTATGTATGTATGTATGTATGTATGTATGTATGTATGTATGTATGTATGTATGTATGTATGTATGTATGTATGTATGTATGTATGTATGTATGTATGTATGTATGTATGTATGTATGTATGTATGTATGTATGTATGTATGTATGTATGTATGTATGTATGTATGTATGTATGTATGTATGTATGTATGTATGTATGTATGTATGTATGTATGTATGTATGTATGTATGTATGTATGTATGTATGTATGTATGTATGTATGTATGTATGTATGTATGTATGTATGTATGTATGTATGTATGTATGTATGTATGTATGTATGTATGTATGTATGTATGTATGTATGTATGTATGTATGTATGTATGTATGTATGTATGTATGTATGTATGTATGTATGTATGTATGTATGTATGTATGTATGTATGTATGTATGTATGTATGTATGTATGTATGTATGTATGTATGTATGTATGTATGTATGTATGTATGTATGTATGTATGTATGTATGTATGTATGTATGTATGTATGTATGTATGTATGTATGTATGTATGTATGTATGTATGTATGTATGTATGTATGTATGTATGTATGTATGTATGTATGTATGTATGTATGTATGTATGTATGTATGTATGTATGTATGTATGTATGTATGTATGTATGTATGTATGTATGTATGTATGTATGTATGTATGTATGTATGTATGTATGTATGTATGTATGTATGTATGTATGTATGTATGTATGTATGTATGTATGTATGTATGTATGTATGTATGTATGTATGTATGTATGTATGTATGTATGTATGTATGTATGTATGTATGTATGTATGTATGTATGTATGTATGTATGTATGTATGTATGTATGTATGTATGTATGTATGTATGTATGTATGTATGTATGTATGTATGTATGTATGTATGTATGTATGTATGTATGTATGTATGTATGTATGTATGTATGTATGTATGTATGTATGTATGTATGTATGTATGTATGTATGTATGTATGTATGTATGTATGTATGTATGTATGTATGTATGTATGTATGTATGTATGTATGTATGTATGTATGTATGTATGTATGTATGTATGTATGTATGTATGTATGTATGTATGTATGTATGTATGTATGTATGTATGTATGTATGTATGTATGTATGTATGTATGTATGTATGTATGTATGTATGTATGTATGTATGTATGTATGTATGTATGTATGTATGTATGTATGTATGTATGTATGTATGTATGTATGTATGTATGTATGTATGTATGTATGTATGTATGTATGTATGTATGTATGTATGTATGTATGTATGTATGTATGTATGTATGTATGTATGTATGTATGTATGTATGTATGTATGTATGTATGTATGTATGTATGTATGTATGTATGTATGTATGTATGTATGTATGTATGTATGTATGTATGTATGTATGTATGTATGTATGTATGTATGTATGTATGTATGTATGTATGTATGTATGTATGTATGTATGTATGTATGTATGTATGTATGTATGTATGTATGTATGTATGTATGTATGTATGTATGTATGTATGTATGTATGTATGTATGTATGTATGTATGTATGTATGTATGTATGTATGTATGTATGTATGTATGTATGTATGTATGTATGTATGTATGTATGTATGTATGTATGTATGTATGTATGTATGTATGTATGTATGTATGTATGTATGTATGTATGTATGTATGTATGTATGTATGTATGTATGTATGTATGTATGTATGTATGTATGTATGTATGTATGTATGTATGTATGTATGTATGTATGTATGTATGTATGTATGTATGTATGTATGTATGTATGTATGTATGTATGTATGTATGTATGTATGTATGTATGTATGTATGCATGCATGCATGCATGCATGCATGCATGCATGCATGCATGCATGCATGGTAGAAGTTGCCTTGTATAACATTTGAGAACTGTTGCATTATAATGTTTTTGAGATAACTTATGTGATTTGAATTATGAAATTCCTTTGCTTAAATAGTTAACTTCTATTTTGCAGAAAGAAGAGCATTCCCAGAAACAGGAAAGTGGTGCTGTTAATGCAATGCAAGACCTATATGATGTTATGCGATGCGATGTCCTTCATGTGAACATGAGGTAATTTAGGTCATTATTGGCATTTTATTAAGAAAAAGTTTGGCGAACCATATTCACTATGACAAATTATACTCATCAAACTATAAAATTTAGCAATTCGCTACCTATACTTCGCAGCAGTAAAGATATGTATTACTTCTTAAATATTTTCACTCTGTATATGTTTCATATTTTTGACAAGGTTATATTGATCATCATCACTACCGTAATCCATGTGAAGAGATTGAGGAAATAGGTTGTATAGTTGTTAACACTACTTGTATGATGAAAAGATATTGGTGAAGAATAGACGATGCCTGAATATATATGTAACTGGTTCTGGGTTTCCAGAGGGAAGGACTTAGTGAGGGCATTAAGGGTCATGTGTAATAAAGCTTACCCAATATTTTGTGGAGTAATAGTATAGTCCAGACTCCAGACAAGTAACGGAAACATGATATGAAGGAAAGGTTTTTGTGAGTGTGCCATGGATTTGATATGGGCTGATAGCGGATATGAATCCTTTTATGTGGTCTTTTAAGTAAATGATGTTAATGGGTATATCTGAACCGCTTTTCAACTTGGGGATATCCAATAAATTGAACCCTTTTTTATTTTGGAGGTGCCCAGTAAAGTAATTCCTTTTTTGGTAGTTGGGAATATCCAATAAAGACACATTAATTGACCCTGAGTGTTTACCGCGTAGGAAACACTTAGTGCTCTTAGAAGACTCTTATTGACCTCACGCCCTAGCCGGACTACCAAGCCTTAAATTCATCGCTATTGATAAATGTGAAATATGGTTTCCTTTTGGTTTACAAGCGAAGATATCTAAATATATAATTCTACATACTCCAAGGTAGCTAAATTTGCGACTCGGTGCGTAGGATCACTCGATTCGATGAGCTTAAAGTGCCTTGGCGATCAAGTTTCTGTGGAAGATCAAATGCGAATTCAGCAATATTTTCATTGTTGTCCAAAAGCAGACTTTTGGCCCTGGGTTATCTAGTCGCAATTTTGGAAACACATGTTTTTTCAAACCTAAACTGAATTTCCGATCTATGGCTCTCTGATGCTTCTCGACATATATGATTCTCTTTATAAATATGTAGAGAATCTTATGCTTAAACGATCCCATGATTTGTGATCTTCATCCCCTTTCTTGATCTTATGTAGGATCTTGATCTTGACTACCTTGATATCTTCATATCCTTCATTCCTTACAAATCATTTTTCACGTTTCGAGCTACTTGTTGTTCAAAACAGCTAAAGTATATCTCGAGCAACAATCAGCATCACGCCGTCACCTAATATAATCCTCAGTCTAGTAACTGCCAAACACCCGTATATATAGTTATACCTCTTTAAATGCTCAAATATTACACAAATCACTATATTGCCTTGTAATGGAAGTCTGTGAGAGGTACTTTTTGATAAACCAAACCATGCCAAACATACTCAGTATGCTGCATTTGGTTGTAGGGTCTAGGGAGACAAATATCTACACAAACCTTACCTCTACCACTTGGAGTAGAGAAGCTATTTCTGGAAATATTGTAAACATCTCAAAAGTTTGAAAATTTTGCAAAAAATCTGAAGCAAAGAAAACCACCCAAAGTTGAAACTTGACAGGTAGTTTGAACAGAACTCTTTGGGCAATAAAAGCAAGCTATAAAATAGCAGAAAGCAGGTAAGTCAGCATATAAAGTAAACAAAGGTACTAGCTAGGGAAACTTGTGGTGAACTGGTAATCATATACGTAGTATAAAGTATCAGTTACAAGCTCTTCCAGTTTAAAATATAGATTGCTTAGAGAATGTATGCGTTTTGCAAAATTTGCACTTTTTTATTGATTTTGTTCTGTGGTTATTGTGTGAGTTTATTTTCAGTGAGCACCTTGAAACATGGAATGATTTGTTAAAAGCTAGGAATGAAGGTCGCTTATTTCAGAAGTTGAAGTGGCCAAGAGATGCTGAGTTGGTGTGTATTACTTTCTATACTGTTTCTTTTCAATGATCATCTTTGTGGCTTTTTTAGATCTGAATAGTGACTTTTCCCTTGGCACCACCCCCATCTCTGTCTTTACTAAATATTATTTATCCATTAAATGACCTTGGAATACATGTAGAGGGCTCAAGTCAGACGGCTGTATTCACTTCTCACTATCAAGGACTCTGCTCACAATATCCCAAAAAATCTTGAAGCCAGAAGGAGGCTAGAGTTTTTTACAAATTCCCTTTTCATGGAGATGCCAGTATCAAAGCCTGTCCGTGAGATGTTGTCCTTTAGGTAATAATCTTCTACATTTCATACCGGCTAGAATCGAGATCATTTGCCTAATGTGGGATCTCTGTATATCTGTCCATGCAGTGTGTTTACACCATATTACTCTGAGACTGTCTTGTACAGCATGTCTGAACTCCGTAAGAAAAATGAAGATGGGATCTCAACTTTATTTTACCTCCAAAAGATATATCCAGGTACATCTATTCTTAATTTCTTATATGATCTGATAAAATACTTTCCTTAATGGTAATAAATAATAAGGATGAGTAATTTTTTAGTTCTTATTTGAGGCTTTATGTGTTATACTCCTACGTATACATTACAAAGTTGGAATATTCCTAAAAGGTATTATCCCTAAATCTGCAAGTTTTTTTTTGTTCATATAATCATATTTAAATCGGATGATATTCTAATAATCTGGACCCCAGGAGTGCATGATTCTGGGCATTTGCCCACCATTGGTTTAGCCATCTTGGTTTTAGTTATTCTATGTGAGATACTAGAAGCTTTGGGTATAATTTTGTTATCTGGTTATTGACAGGGAAATCAAATCAAAACAAAGCATTAATGTGGTCCATCCAATAGGACTAGTACGCAAATGTTGGTAAAAAATGTCACCAAGCAACACAAAAACTTACTATCTTAAGCATATCGGATTAGTCAATAGTGTAATATTGGCATATCAAAATGTTTTCCATTAATATAAGAGTGGATTACATAGAAAGAACTAATTGATCAAGCACATGATCATCACATGTGTTCAGGTCATGTTTTCTAGCAACAACAATATCCAAGCCTTATTCCCAAAATAGTTTGGGGTCAGTTAACAAGAATTGACTTATGAATCGGAGATAGAAAGGATACAAAAAGATCATTCCCTCACACGTATATTTTCCCTCCATTTCACTCCCTCTAAAGTTATACTATCATCCAGCCCAAGAAGTACCATACCGTTCCAGATCACCATTATACACATCTCCTCCCTGTCTCTTCTCCCCACCTCTCAACTCGTCTAACAAATGCATCACTCACTCTTCTATGCACATGGCCAAACCAATGCAATAGAGACTCGCATCTTATCTTCAATAGGTGCTACTCTCATCTTTTGTCTAATTGTCTCATTCCTCAGACGATCTTTTCTAGTATGTCCACACATCCAATGCAACATGCACATCTCAGTCACACTCATCTTATCTTTTGAATGCGACTGATGAGAACAGAAAAATAATAATCAAGGGAATAAACCGTTGCCCAGAGCCAATCGACCAAAATCCAATTTTATTAACTGATGATCAAGAATGAACCCCAACAGAGGGTTTAAATAGGGATATTGAGTCATAGACCTAAATAGGACTAAACGAAGTGTTGGGAATGTATATAGGACTTAAAAGATTTAAACTCCTAACTAGGACTAAATTTGAATAGAGGGACAAAAATACCCTTACATATGACTCTATAGGCAATATAGCAGCCACTTCCTCACTTCTTGCCCAATCATTAAATTCATGCCAAGCCGATTAGGACTATGGAGCACCAAATTCATAACATAGTAATTGTTCTCGTCGATCACATGGCATATTCAGTGCCGGTGCACCGCTGATTGCCGCCGAAGTGATCGCCGGTGCGAGTCATCACCGTATTGGTCGCCGATTGCATGGCTGGGACTTTGGATAGTCACTCCCTCCTTCTTTCTCCTGCTCTTCCTCTCTGTTAGCGAGTTTCTTCTGTGTCCCTGTTCGGCCTCCACCTCTGCCAGACGATCGGCAGTTGATCTGGTCATTCTGGTGGGAATGGGATCTGGCAAGTCGGACCAATTGATGAGATCAGAAAAATAATAATCAATGGAATAAACCGTTGCCTAGAGCCAATAGGCTGAAATCCAATTTTTTAACCGATGATCAAGAATGAACCCTAACAAGGTGTTTAAATACCCATCTACTAATTCCCAAACTAGGAAACAACATCATAGAAATCCTAATCAACTCCAAATAGGAAACGGAATAATAGAAATCCTAATTAACTCCAAATAGAAAACAAATAATAGAAATCCTAATTAACTCCAAACAGGAAACACAACTCAGGAAAATTATAGAATAAAAAATTAATTAAACAGCCCTCAACCAGCCCACGAAGGTGGGCTCAAGCCCGTTCCCGCCTTCAGTAAACTCATGGGGGCCTCGGCCTCTCTTCCTCCAAGCCAAGCTACTGCTTTCTATCAATGACATGGTTTCAACGCTTAATACTCTATGCACCATACAATAGTGTATGCCTAATGGGTGTCTGATAAAACTTACCCATAGGTCTACACAACATACCTCGATCACATAGAAATCCTGACGCACTCTTCTATTTCATCCACCCTGTTATAATTCTATGGGATTCCTTACCATCTAAGGTAATCCCACCATTACCATTGCTTCTACCTACCTCTACCTACCACTGTTACAATATAAGACAATCTAAGTCATTTTTTCTAGCATTCCATTAAATTTCATGCTTTTTATTACGTTTTGATGCTTAACACCCCTTCAATTTAAAAAGGGAACCCAAATAGCCAATGCTAAATTCTGATTATATATTATTCTGGCCTCTAAGATTCAACGAGGCATTGTAATTCATGTACTTGCTAGGAGACTTTCACATATAGATTGTTGCACTGTTGACAGCGTAATATAGTTTGTCACTATGTCTATGATTCATGAGATAGAAATTAACGTTGAATGCAGATGAGTGGAGAAACTTCCTTGCTCGTATTGGTCGTGATGAGAATACATCAGAATCAGATCTTAGTTATAATGCCAATGATACTCTTGAATTGCGTTTTTGGGCGTCATACAGAGGACAAACATTGGCAAGAACTGGTAAGCATTTCTCTCGTATATTTTATCTGTCTTCTGCTACGTATGTTTTATGTACTACAACTTGTGCTTCATTTATCGACTTCTATTAAGAAAACATCAATTGGGTAAATGTATTTTGTGTCCCTTTTTATGTTTCTATCAAGATTGTTTATAGAACTTTATATGATGAATCTTTACGAAATGTAACAATTATCTACTTAGTGAAAACAATTATCTAATTGGTTTACTTCTAAAGAGGAAGGATCTGAATGTAGCTAAGAAATGGTAGTGACCTACGGGAAAAATGTATGGCTTATATTTTGAACCTTATTTAGTGGTGCTTGTTCTTGTATTCTATGAATTTGGTTCATAAGAAATTAAGAACAATATTCTTTGGGTTTTGCAGTGCGTGGAATGATGTACTACCGGAAAGCTCTCATGCTTCAAGCTTATTTGGAAAGGGTGGCAGCTGGAGGTTTTGTATAGGAGATGATATGATTAGGTTGATTCTGTTTTCTTTCTCATTACTCTAGTTTACTTTTATTATATGTATCTTTAGATTCTGAGGCTGCAATTTCAAGAAGTGAAGCAACTGATACCCAAGGGTTTGAGTTATCTCCTGAAGCAAGAGCACAAGCAGATCTTAAGTTTACTTATGTAGTTACTTGCCAAATATATGGGAAGCAGAAAGAGGAGCAAAAGCCTGAGGCTGCAGACATTGCATTACTAATGCAAAGGTGAATCTATTGCATTCTCTTTTATTTGCAAATAAATTTTCAATTAACTCAAAGCTTAAACATCTAATAGTCCAGAAAGTCTTAGCTTGTCGCACTGTAGCGCTAGACAATCACACTATCCAGTAACTCTGAGTTTCTGGCCTTTTCATCCTTCTTGTAGAAATGAAGCACTACGAGTTGCTTTCATTGATGAAGTTGAGACATTAAAGGATGGAAAATTGCACAAAGAGTATTTCTCAAAACTTGTGAAGGCTGACATCAATGGGAAAGATAAGGTAAGTCCTTTTATATTAGTTTTTTCTATTAAAGCTCTTAGTTGGTTTCCATTGGACTTCTTACACTCTTACACCAACCATAAACATAAAGCAACTATTTATATTTGGAAAGCAATGCTGATCATCGGATCATCCTACGATTGCATAAAGATAAGGATTACTCTCTAATAGCTTAATATATCACCAATTATCATAAAATTCACTAACCTATCATATTCCTGATCTTTTGTCTAAAAAAGACTTAAACTAATTTTTTTCCACAGTTATACTTTAAGTGGATTCATTCGTAATATTTAAGTTTTTTTTTTTGTATTCCGGATTTTTTCCCATTTCTTTGTAGTTTCAAGTAAAAAAGTTACAATTTTGTGTGTGTGTCGGGACATACAAGTGTCAGTGTGTCACACACAACCAGATAAAAGTGTCACATACACCTATAGACAAAGAGTTCAAGTTTTCTTAGTATCGAATTAAATTTACTAAATAATTAATAGTGTGCTTAGATTACCTTAGCAACTTCTATAAAACAAATATTACTCTAGCAGGTTGTTAATTTACGGAATAACTAGAGCATCATCTTTATCTTAACTTTTGAGATTATGTTAGAAATATTACGGTTATAGATTATTATTTAAGATGAATTTTTATTATTTGATTTAAGTTCTTGTTAAAATCGTTAAGAAAAATTAAATTAAATAATTCATAACTGTCAATTAATTAAATAGAAAAAAGGATTAATTTTTATCTAAATTTTAATTTTGAACATCCATGTAGGGAAAGTATAATTGTTAAAAAAGTTGAAGTTTGAGTTCTTTTTGGGGCAGGAGCCTTTGGGCTTCAAATTTTTGAATATGTGAGTTGTCTCCGATAATAGGACCGGGGACTTTGGGTTTAAAATTTTTATTTGGGTAAAATAGGTTTTTTATATTATTAGTTAATCCCACTAGAACCCTTCCAAATACGTAAAACCCATCACAGCCTTTGATGTGTCATTCTTAGTCCTCTGTTTCTTCAACGACCAGCATCATGGCTCAGAAGAGTAGACACCAATGCGGAAAATCTTTGAGGACAGCCAGAGAGACCTTGCTTCTTCAACGCATTTTGGATACACTTGTTGTTGTTGTTGTTGATCCTGCTTGGCAGTGGAAATACTTAAAGCTCATGAGTTGAAGGGTTTCACACTTTCACATGAATGTCATAATGTTTGGTGTGTGTTGTATGTAATTATACACACACATATAATTATGCATTCTGCATAAAAGTTATCCGAATAGCTGTCACCCGTTATCCACTATACCGCTATAGCGTTTTCAGGAAAGACTGCTCCGCTCTGCTATCCTGGATTGACAACGCTGATAAGTAACATGTCAATTAAAACCAGATTATTATTCAACCTGATGACGTGGTTTTAGATCTGATTTTGGACCATTGTTCTTCTGTTTCAGCAGTTTTTCTTCTTACCTTCCTTCTTTTGTTCTTTTCTACAAATACCAAATTCACTGCTAGTTTGTTTATGAGGAGTAGAAATAAAAGAGATGCTTTTATGGCTGCTTAAATGCAGCTAAATTTATGCTTAAGAAAAAAATCAAGAAACACGTGCATAATTTTTTTGTTATTCTTATTACAATAAGCCAAAATTGAGTGCTCCCTTTATGCACCTTCTAGCTATTGCCTCTTTGTATAGCTTTAGAAATATATATAACCATTTTAAAAAGTTCGTTTACCAAGATTGTTTCAAAAAGCTATTACTCCTATCATTAGAGTCCTATAAAACTAATGGCTATTAGAATCATAACAGGAAATCTATTCCGTAAAACTGCCTGGAAATCCAAAGCTTGGTGAAGGAAAACCTGAAAATCAAAATCATGCTATTATTTTTACACGTGGAAACGCAATACAGACTATTGACATGAATCAGGTAACAAGTTGTACTTAACTGCTTTTCTAAAATTTGCCAGTATGAGATTTTTATTGCATAATCTGCAGTAAACATATTGGCTTTAAATTATTTACAATTATTATTTATAGATCTATTTCTTTTGTTTTTTTTGTTGACAGGATAATTACTTTGAGGAAGCTTTGAAAGTCAGGAATCTTCTAGAAGAATTTCACCGTGACCATGGAGTTCGCCCCCCTACTATTCTTGGTGTTAGAGAGCATGTGTTTACTGGGAGGTATGTTATCGGTGTCATTTTCCCCCTTGTAGAGCTCTTTTTTCTAAAATCTTCTGACACTTTAACCTTGTACATCCTCTTAGTGTGTCTTCTTTAGCATCCTTCATGTCTAATCAGGAATCTAGCTTTGTGACTCTTGGCCAACGTGTGCTAGCAAATCCTTTGAAGTGAGTTCACTATTAATCACTGATCTTTTTGTTCCAAGGCAACTATGATGTAATCATTAATGTAAACTGATTGTGTGACTTCTGTTTTGGTATCATCATCAGGGTTCGTATGCATTATGGTCACCCAGATGTTTTTGATAGAGTATTCCATATAACTAGAGGTGGTATCAGCAAAGCCTCTCGTGTCATAAATATTAGTGAAGATATTTTTTCGGGTAAATCTTTGCCTCTCATTAAGAAGCTTTCATTGAAAACTTTATTGTGTTGGATTGTACATGTTAATGCTTCGTGTAAGATTAGGAGCAATATATTCTTTTAATTGCGTTATATTAATTATTAATTGGGCCAATATTGAACATTCCTCATCAAGTTGGAGATTATAAGTTACTTCAACCCAGGCTGTTACAAATAAAATCAGTTCTTATTTCTTGGAAGAACCCCCTAAAACCTAGAATATCTGTTGATTGATCAGACAAGTTTACAAAGCTCTTGGTGGTGCACCTTGGCACATTCTTTTCCTTGGATGAGAAATGGCAACCATCTTCATTATGTTTGGTCCTCTCCATGATATACAAAGTACTAGACTTAAGGCAGTGTTCAATAGTTCAATAGTACTGGTTACCACATATCAAGGTCTTTTGCACATTATGACTACTACCTCTACATACGACCGTCTATCTGGAATTGACCCCATTCACAGACATCACCTTCCTTCTCGATGTATTCCTTGACGTCCGTAGCGGATTTCGCTCCTTGAATATTGGGATGGAACGCACCCCTCCGACCCGGAACGATGATGTCGAAGAATCTGTTGTTCGTGCAGCAGAACCGTCCTTCATACTGTAACATGGCGTGGAGATGGGTTCTCCGTTGGCGTGGAGTTCCCGGCAAATCTGAATGAATTTAAGTGTTGTGGGGTAGTGGAGATTTTTTAGATAATCTAGAGCTTCATTTTTGGGAACGGAGCACCTCGTATAAGTGAGGAAATAAGTTTTGGAATTGAGTTTAAAGCGGTTCGGGGCCATTACGTGTTGTCACTCTTTGGCGCCACTCTTTCGCCCCGGAGCAAAAGTCTGAAATGAATGGGTGATAAGGGGACAATATATAAGGGGAGAGCATCCTGTTAATATTACCAGGATGCCCTCCCCCGTGCTTTATATAGTGGGCCCCGCTCGGGGTAAATTGGGTATTTCGTACCATGGAAGAATAAAACAGGCCCACGTGTGATTGCACAACACGATTGAAGGAATGCCTCCTTTTATTTGGACTGGTTTACCGTATTTGCAATTGGTCTGCCAGTCTCTTTGGGCCCCAATTAATTCCTTCCAGTGTTTTAATTTGAGGTAGTGAGGAGTGACGTTATCTAGGATATTGTAGCAGACCTCGTTGGAGTACACGTATTTGTTGAAGTCCAGATGTCCACTTAAACAATTATGTGGGCCGAGTGATCTGGCCCAGGCAGTTTTTCCTATCCTACTGGGCCCTTCGATGATTATGCTCTTAGGCCTGTCTGGCCGCGCAGCGGCACTGTCCGGTAAAAAATATTTTCCCGGACCCAATTTTGGTGACTCTCCGGTACAACGAATGAATCCGGTGACCATCGAGACACGAACGGAACAATTGGTGGCTGAAAAATGCGTTCGTAGTTGCTCGTTAGATTGTGGTATTGCAACGTAAATGACTTTGGGTCCTTTTCTTTAATTACCTGAAGAGCCGCATCTCTTGAACCAGTATTTAATGCCTCGGCGTATACTTGTGCGGCGGACTGTTTACACCCTCTGGCGGAACGACCGTCTATCTGGAATTGACCCCATTCACAGACATCACCTTCCTTCCGTATGTATTCCTTGACGTTCGTAGCGGATTTCGCTCCTTGAATATTGGGATGGAACGCACCCCTCCGACCCGGAACGATGATGTCGAAGAATCTGTTGTTCGTGCAGCAGAACCGTCCTTCGAACTGTAACATGGCGTGGAGATGGGGTTCTCCGTTGGCATGGAGTTCCCGGCAAATCTTAATGACTTTAAGTGTTGTGGGGTACTGGAGATTTTTTAGATAATCTAGAGCTTCATTTTTGGGAACGGAGCACCTCGGATAAGTGAGGAAATAATTTTTGGAATTGAGTTTAAAGCGGTTCTAGGCAGGCGCCTTAACGCCTAGCAACCCGTGACTACCATCAATCTATCAAATGTTGCACTTGAGGTAAATGTGGTTGAGAGTAAATAATAATAATGGCTAAAGGGTCAAATAGGTACATGAACTAACTCAAAGTGTTCAATTAGCCCCTTATATAGGAGGTTCTGCCCGGCCGTTGCCAATTGGGGCGATTCCTGGTGGAATTTTTTGATGAAATTTTTTGAGCATCTTCTTCATTACGCCTAGTTTACCCATACCAAATTTCAGCTAAAAATTCAACCGGGAAGGCAGTCAAATGATTTTTTGAAGATAACTGCGCAATTAACAGCGCAGTACATTTCGGAAAATCATTTGACTGTCTTCCCGATTTAATTTTTAGCTGAAATTTGATATGGGTAAACTAGACTTAATGAAGAAGATGCTCAAAAAATTTCATTAAAAAATTTCACCGGGAATTGCCCCAATTGACGACGGCCGGGCAGAACCTCCTATATAAGGGGCTAATTGAACACTTCAAGTTAGTTCATGTACCTATTTGACCCTTTAGCCAATAATTAATAATGGTAGCTGAGGATATTTAATGAGGAATTTATTCTCATTCATCCAAAAAAGCAACTTTTGAACTTTATTAAGAGGTGGAGGAAGTTTAGGGTTGCGAGCTTGAAGTAAATGTCTTGATCTCAAAACACTTACCACCAAATTAACTCTCCATGATAAGAATTCACAGCACATCACTCTGCTTCTGCACTGGCTCTAGAAGACACAGTAAAATATGTCACTTTGGAGTATGGATATTGCCAAAGTCGCAAACCACCTAACTGAAATGGCTAAGTTTATGTATTTGTTTATACCATAAACGAGCAACAGAAATAGCATCTGAGAGATCATCACTATGAAGAAAAGAATTCTTGATATCTATTTGATGAAAAAGTTGATTATGCATTAACACAAGAAGCTTTGTTCTGCCACGGCGATACCCGATTGTGTGGTGTAGAATGCCAGAGGACTGGTAAAACATAACTCGAGAAGCTATGTAAGTTGTAGATGGGATAAATAAGTATTTTATAGCATTGTCACTTTTCACTACTGGGTTTCTCAAATTTGACTTATATTTCACCGCAAAAGTTATCAAAGATCCTAAATAACGGGTACGTTCATTCATTAAGAAAGTCCGCTTGCACATAGTAATCATCAACAAATGTGATGAAGTATTTGAAACCCAAAGTGGATGTGGCATGGAGCCCAAACATCGGAGTGGACTAAATCAAACATTGGAATTTGGAAGCACAAGATTGTTTTCGAAACAGGTGGATCTTGCTGCAATGCGTGTGAAGAATGGATGGTCGTGAGAAGGTTCTAATGTGATGGTGATGTTGATATAAACAGGTGTCACTTGTTTTCACAAGTGACACCATATAATCTCGGAAGCTGGATCAGTAAGATGCTTTCAGGCCTCCAGGAAGTTGTTGAGTGAGTGCCATAGAGTGGTGGACTATGATGGGGTCTAATGTAATGTAGATTTAGGAGAAAGATATTTACTAGGTTGCCTAATAACGTATCTTACATTATACACAAGCAAAGGTTAACATTTGGTATGCTCAGCTAACCACAATTTTGGTTAGTATTTAATATAATAAGAATATATATCTCAACTCTTGGAATAAGGTAATGATCTAGTGCCATATGTATTTGTTGAATTAACCAAATAATTTCTCATCCGTCTCCCCATTCAGGTTCTTATTAGTTTATATAGAATTCCTAAGAGCTTTGTACTTCCATTTTATGCATTGATATAGAGTAGTGTCTGGTGATTATGCATGTCGAATTTTCATGGCACTGGCAGGTTGTAATGCTTACTTTTTCTTTATTTCAACTAAAATGCAGGATTCAATTCAACTTTACGCCAGGGTAATGTCACCCACCATGAGTACCTTCAGGTAAATAGGTTCTTTTCCACCTTCCATATTCGGGGTACTATTTTTCACACTTCTCAGCTAACAATATCACCTAATGATGCTATATAGGTTGGCAAGGGGCGAGACGTTGGACTCAATCAGATTGCTTTGTTTGAGGGAAAAGTTGCAGGTGGTAATGGTGAACAAGTCCTCAGTAGAGATGTCTACAGGCTTGGTCAGCTTTTTGATTTCTTCAGAATGCTTTCGTTTTACTTCACAACTGTGGGATTCTACTTCTGTACTATGGTACGTAATTTTCTTACCCGTGCAATATATTTAAGGAGTGGCTAATTACACCCCTTAAAATTCTAAATACACCCAAGTTTTGGTCAAACTCGCAGAGTTCAATGAAGAGTGACGACCAGCACTAACAGCATTCACAATCATGCTTCCAAAATCATTGTTTTGTTGTAGTCCCCACTTCAAATCATTACCACATCAATTTTTAAAAATATAAATAATCTCGCTAACTTTCCTTCAACGTTTATATCCAAATAATCTAATTTTTGGGAATCCCGCACTCATCAATCACCTTTACTTTCCCCAATTAGCTGGGTTTGTATTCTGTTCCTAGTTGATTGTACCAAATAATCCTTTCCACTCATTCATCATCCTTGGAATAATCCTCCACCTCACCCACTTTGTCCATTTTTAATCCTACGGACGGGGATCCTGTAATCAAAATCTGTTCAATGAGTGTTCTTCAAACGCTCTTAATTGACCTTTTCTTTTGTTAAGTGAACCATGAGAGCACACTCATCATTAGTCAGCACCCCTAGTGTTACACTCTCCATTACATTTAAGCCAGTATTTATGAAACACTCTTGCATGTGTTCTGCCATTGTTGGTTGAATGATTTTGTTGAAATATGGGGTTTCTCAAGAGAAATATGGTGCACATAGCCACTTGTAGAATAATTTAATTTCATTTACAATGTGGTATGAGTACTGGAGTTGCTGTTTTTTTCAACTGGTCAATTTAATGTATCTAATGGCTCCCTGCCTTCTTTTTGTAGTTAACAGTGCTGAGTGCTTACAGTTTTCTATATGGAAGAGCCTATTTGGTATGTTCTGGTACATAAATAGGCCGTTTTATGTCATTTTTTATGTACAACTGCTGTACTGTAATAGTTAGTTTTTTTACAAAAATTATGCTTATGGTACTCTGGGTTCCCTTGATTTTTTTTGTCTCAGGCACTATCTGGGGTCGGCGAAACAATCCAAGAAAGAGCAGATATATTTGAAAATACTGCCCTAAATGCCGCTCTCAATGCACAGTTTCTTTTTCAGATTGGCGTGTTTAGTGCGGTTCCAATGATTTTGGGTTTCATCTTGGAGCAAGGATTCCTTAAGGTGTGATATTTAATTTTTATTTACAATTTTCATCCATTATCATTTTTGTTGAATAGGCAACCTTAAACTTTTTTTGGATTAAGGCTTAGATGTTGTTGTTGTTATATTGATCGGGCTTAACTTGCAAGTATACAAGTGTTGGTTGTAGTAATCGTTGGAGGTATTGGTCCTACCAGGACCTCCCTTCCATTTTATTACCTTCGTCCCAAAAAGGTTTGCCATATTGACTTTTCTTAATCAATGATGAGAAACTTTAGACAATGGTTTTGATTACTCCCTCCGTCCCTGAATGAACTTCCAACTTTCCTTTTTCATCCGTCCCAAAAGAACTTCCACTTTCCTTTTTTGGTAAAGAATTTGTGGTTCACAACATTTCTTACACATTTCTCTCTCCTCTGCACAACACTCCACCACACAGCTAGGGACAGAGGGAGTATTATACGAGTATTTGTTTATAATTTATAAATTTTATACTTTTATGAAAATATTTTGAATACGGAACATTTTGATATAATTTTCATATTCAATATAATTTCATATTGAAAAATATCATTGGTCAAAGTTGATTTCCATTGACCAAGAAAATTCAATTTGGCGAATATTTTCGGGATGGAGGGAGTATTTACCAAGGCCTGCATCCTAGGTTTACTCCCAGTTTCCCATATCCATGATTAGTTTTGTCCCTGATCATTTATCTTACTGTTGCCTCCCTTATTGTCTAGATTTGGCCCCTTTGTCCGCTCCCCTGTACTCTCTTTGGAGTGTCAGTTTTCACCCGTTTTCTTCACACTTCACAAATGACCAGCACCGGTTACGGTCTAGGTCCGGCGCTGGTTTGTTCTCAAATCGCATTTACTTATTTTAGAAGCTTTTTGGCTTCAACAGTTTATGCAGAAGTTCCGTTTTCTCTCTCTTTTGACTTGTGACTTCGTTTTCTTGTTTTTTAATCATATTTCACGTTTCTGACACATCTTGGTTTTTTTAACGTGATTTCCTCTCTTTTTTCCAGTACAGACTACTATAGTTATGTTTGTAAATTATAAGTAATTATCATGCCTATCATGTATCGTGCACAATGTTCTAAAAGGTGCGAGGCGTGTCAAGGGGGCGGGTTTATGCGAGGCCTAGGCCTGAAAAGGCGTTTGCAATTTTTACTCATTATTTTAATTTTTCAAGAACTATTAGTGAGTGTATAAATGTGATATGTAATAGAGGAAATTTCTGAAATAGGAGTAAAAACGTTTTAGAATTCCAAAATTGGGCTGGCGTGCTTTTATTCCCTTAATAGGTGTAATTACTGCATAGTTTGGAAAATATTGCCATGTTCCATGTCTGGTACTGGCAAAACATGACAATAATTACTCTTATTTAGGGTACACAAACATGAAAATCATATTTTGGAAATACACAAACGTTTTTAGTCCTATTTAGAGCAATTTTTCTATGTAATAACATCATACAATAAACATCATATTTTGAATTTTCCAATAAAAATAAAATACATAAAGTTCTAAAACTCACAAATGATAGGTATACTAATGTACATAGTCATATAGTAATACAAACATGTATAGTATTAATAACAACAATAATAATAGTAATTTAATAAGAGTTTTTTTCAAAAATATTACTTGAATAAAATTTATTTATGAAAATATACTGAACATTAATCCATACTAAAGTATAATGTGATTTCACTTATTGAAAAAATTGAACATAAGTTAGCGTGATTAAAGTTACTACCATGACTAGGTCATATTTTTGAAAACAATATCCATTTTATTCATTAATATCTAATTGTTTCTAATAATGATGAATCATTTTCCATCATGAATGATGATGAAAAGAATAGTCGATTGCAATTTATATAACTTGAACAAGTTTAAATCTTTACAATTGATGATTGGACAACTCTACATTACCAAAGCTAAATGTGTTCCATGTCTGCAGGAGGAGGTTTGTTATGTTTGTTTCTATTCTTCCTTATACGGAGTGCTTAAATTTCCCACACCGGCTGAGTGGACAAACTCCTAATTCCAACGTAGCTATAAATATAACATCACTTCTCTACTTCTTTTAAATGCAGCGGACTTCATTGTCATGGGCTGTTGCCTTTGGGCTTTAAGCTTAGTCAAATTAAGGCTTTAGTTTCGCTGGGCTGCCTTTCTACACGCATTTGGGTGGTGCGGGGGGTTCTAATGACGCCTTACGCATAGGCCCACCAAGGCAGCGCCTTTATAGGCCTTTTAGAACACTGATCGTGCATGCTAAGATTAATGATTCTTCAGAATAGTTTGTGCTTTTCACATAATTGTTATTCACCTTTCCTGAAAATAATATATGATCTCATGCCTGCCAATTTTACGTATGCGGTTTTTATTAAAATAAATTCAGTGAGGAAGGTAAAGTTTTTTCAAAATGTAATATAATTTATAAGTTTATAAATATAAGTTGTAATAAGAAAAGAAGACTTCAACAACTGTAACAATGAAGAATAACAACGATAATAATAATACACATTAATGTTTCTTGTAGATCCCAGGTAAAGAACACATATATAGGGGCCTTTTCATGTGTGTCATTTCATGTTCATCTAATGTGCTTGTTACAAAATATTTTCTATGATTTTTGTTTACAAAGTGCTTTACCAATGAACTGCAGGCCTGTTTCTAATTGGCTGCCTGGTATTCTGTCACTGCAGGCCATTGTTAGTTTTGTAACGATGCAGGTCCAACTTTGCACTGTGTTCTTCACATTCTCTTTAGGCACTAGAACACATTACTTTGGCCGGACAATTCTACATGGTGGAGCGAGGGTATGCTTGTTAATTAATAAGATATGTATGCACGTGTTTCTCTCCGACAAGCATTAACTCACCAAATAATATTTCTTGTTTTCAACAGTATCAAGCAACCGGCAGGGGCTTTGTTGTTCGACACATTAAATTTTCAGAGAACTATAGGCTGTATGCCCGCAGTCATTTCGTCAAGGGGTCTCTCTCTCTCTCACACATATCCTATACATTAAGAAATATGGGCTATATCGTTTATATGGGGCACATGCATCCTTTTGAATATGCATTATACTCATCACCATTGGAGGAAAGCTAGTTATTAGTATTTTTTTTGTTTTTTCAGAATGGAGATTGTACTTCTATTGGTGGTATACCTTGCATATGGTTTTAGCACAAGTGCTATATCATACGTTCTTCTTACAGTTAGCAGCTGGTTCTTAGCTATCTCTTGGCTATTTGCACCATATTTGTTTAATCCATCCGGCTTTGAGTGGCAAAAGTAAGTTTATCTCCTGAATTAACACCCTATATAAGTTTTTATTTTCCCCCATTTTTAATTTTCACTTGCCAACTATAGGACGGTAGAAGACTTCAGAGATTGGACCAATTGGCTTCTGTATAGAGGTGGAATTGGAGTTAAAGGTGAAGAAAGTTGGGAAGCTTGGTGGGATGAAGAGCTGGTAATAAATCTTGCCATTTGAACATAATGCAATCTTGCATCAGCTATTTTTGGCTTACCATCGTATCTGTTATTGACAGGCTCATATTCGAACATTCAGTGGGAGGCTGATGGAGACCATTCTTAGCTTAAGGTTTTTTATATTTCAATATGGCATTGTATACAAGCTACATGTACAGGCAGATAATACGTCTCTGACGGTATAATTTTCACAGCTTAGCTTTCATAGACTTGGTTTAAATAGGATCTGAAACTGACTAGAATTTGATGTTATGGCCTTTTAATTGATTCTCTTAATCCTTTTTAGATTTATGGGTTTTCATGGATCGTATTTGCGGTACTTTTGATCCTCTTCAAGGTCTGACCACACTCTCCAATGAGAAATCCGCTCTCTTAGAATCTTTGCTAATAGATATAATTGATTATCTTGTCTGCTAATATCTTCTTCTACTGTGTTATAATAGGTGTTTACTTTCAGCCAGAAAATATCAGTTAATTTCCAGCTGTTACTGCGTTTTGTCCAAGGCCTTTCCTTTTTGCTTGCACTAGCTGGTTTAGCTACTGCTGTTGCCCTTACTGAACTTTCTATTGCGGATGTATTTGCTTCCATATTGGCTTTCATACCCACCGGATGGGGAATTCTTAGTGTAAGTTAATTAAAAGCTATTCTCTAATCTCTCAGTGTACAATATTTAACTCTTTAAATTGATCTTTAAAAGATACTCCATCTGTTCTACTTAAGTACTTAACAATGGTGATCATAATTTACGGTGATTGATTTAGATTAGGTTTAATATTTAAATTTTAGATATTTAGATATTACACTAAAAGTTCTATTTTTGCACAAAAACTGTATTCGAATTTGATAAAAAAATGATTTTTCTTCAGAGAACAAGTAGAAATTATGTTGACCACATGATTAGTAAATGGGTAAAGTAGAGTGCGATGGAGGAAGTATATTTTAGATCACCCTGTTGGATGTGATATTATAGTATAACCTGAAAATTTGTTGATTAACAAAAAACAGTCGGTTGCTGTTAATGAAAAAACTGTTAGGCTGTCAAATGCATACTGTGAACATATTTGTTTAATGTTTTTGCAACCTTTTTGTTCACGGTGTAGCTTACTGCTATCATGCATCTTCTTCTCTTTTTACACCATTGTGTTTAATATTTTTCAGATTGCGTCGGCATGGAAACCTCTCGTGAAGAAAATGGGGATGTGGAAATCGGTTCGGTCAATCGCGCGTCTATATGATGCCGGGATGGGTATGGTCATCTTCATCCCCATTGCACTCTTCTCTTGGTTCCCCTTCGTTTCAACCTTCCAAACCCGCCTTATGTTCAACCAAGCATTCAGTAGAGGTCTAGAGATCTCTCTTATCCTTGCTGGGAATAACCCCAACACTGATTTGTGATCCGCGTTGGGACAAACTTCACCTTTTTGGAGTGTCCAGTTTCTGTATTTTTGTAGTCAGCTTCTTTTAGGTGCAAATAATAACTTATGTATTCATTCGTACTCCGCATTAATGGTTGAGTTATTTTTATTGTGAGATAAACTTCGTTTCAACCTTCCATCCCCATTGCCTGTCATTGTGATGAAGATTTCATAATGATGTCGTACTGAGGTAAACGTAGGGGGATTCAAGCGGGTTCCTGTCTGTAAAACGGAACCGTACAACTGTACAAGGCATAACGAGGTATACACTAATATTTATAACATTAAAACAATGTATAAAAATAAAATTAAATCATCACAATTATAAAATAAGTACGTAGTATATCAAAAGATATATATTACAATATATGTTATACTCTATATTATGTCATTAATAACAATATACTACGTGGTTTACAATATACCAATAAAAAAAATTGAATGCATTATATGGATTTGAGTCGGCTGGTAGGTATGTGTTCCAGTCAGTAGCAAGGTTCAATCTCGGACAAAAATCTGCATGGTTTCGATCTTGTTTGGTCACTATGGGGACGTTATATTATCCATGTGTGCAAACTTGTAGTCATGTAGAGTTGTAGGTAGGGATTGATGGGTCGGTTTGTAGTCCCAGGACTGGCCAGTCCATGGGAAATGGGAATCCAGTATTGATTAGTCAAAAGAATTCTTTTTATATTACCTTATTCGAACCTCTCAATTATAATTATCATTTGATACACTTTGGTTACCAAACTATGGTATGAAACTATGAAAGAGTCGAGACTCATTGTGCATATAGGAGTCATGTGATTGTGTTATAGAGAAAATGATCTAATATATTATTTCCAAGTAGGCCTGGACTCGGGCCGGGCGGCCCGACCCGGAACCGGCCCGGCCCGGCCACTGTAGCAACCGGCCCGGCCCGGTGGCCCGGTCCACCGGCGGTTCGGGTCGAACCGGCCCGGTGGTTCCCGGTTCCGGGCCCGGGCCTTCCATATGGTGAACCGGCCCGGTCCGGGCCGGAATTAATTTTTTTTTTTTTTTTTTTTTTGAAAATTTTTTATGTTTTGGGTTAGATTAGGTATTTTGGTCCATTTGAGATGGTTTGGGGTGGTTTGGGGTTGAGAAAGAGGGGTAGGGGATTAAATAAAGAAGCCAAAAAAAAAAAAAATTAATAGGGCGGGTGGCCCGGCCCGGAACCGGCCCGGTCTGGCCCGGAACCGGCCCGGAACCGGCCAACCCCGGTTCGGGCTCGGGCCTATATATACTGAACCGAGGCCCGGCCGGGCCCAGGCCCGAGGCCCGAACCGGCCCGGTTCAGTCCACCCCTATTTCCAAGTTTTGAATTGATAAAATAAGATTACATCCCGATCTAAGCAAGAATAAGGCCCATTTTGATTTAAATGGACAATGACAAGAAACTGATACAATATCCCCCATCCTTCGAGTGCACCCTTACCGTTTTTTTCAATATGGAACTCCAAGACATTGCCGCTTCCACCCAAGTTGGTGGCACAATCGCCACCTCGAATTGTTATTTTTCTTTGTTTACCTTGTCGCCACAATCGTTGTTGATAGTCTTGGACTCGGGCTGGTTTGGGCCCGGTCGGGCCTCCGGTCCTGGAATGTGGGGCCCGGAACCGGCCCGTCCTTCGCCCGGTGCCGGTTCGGGCCGGGTCACCCGCCCGGTTCCCGGGTCGGGCCTATGTAATTTTTTTACTTATTAATACAACTTAAATATGAAATACATTTTTCAAAAAATACTAATACAATAAATTCTAAGTTGTAAGTTGTAAATTTGTAACCAATTAATTAATTAATTTGAGAAGTGTAAAAAAAAGAATGTATATTTATTTGAAATATGAACTAAAACTTTACAAATTACTATAGAGAATTGAGGGGAAAATTAAAACATGAAATACAATTTTTAATAAATTGTAAAATACTAATCAATCGGAATCTCCGACATAGGACTCCTCGGTTGTTGATTCATCCATAAAGTCTTGGGAGGGGGTGATGCTAATTTCTTGACATCTACGTATGACCTTCAACCAATCGTGGTAGCATATAAGCGTCTCAAGAGACTCAGCGCTCGAACTTGTTCTAGATGCCGTTAGAACGTTGCCGGCCGAATTAAATTCTTGTTCCACGGCAATTGTTGAAATCGGCATTGATAGCACTTGCTTAGCCATCCGTGCCAAAATCGGGAATATTCTTTCTTTTGACTTCCACCACTTTAGAACGTCAAACTCCTCATTTTCGTCAAATTCTACCTCATAATTTATATACAAAGAAATCTCATTAAGTGCGCTTTGTTTAGTAGTGTGAGTTGTTTTAGGTTTTTTCATAAGATTGTCAAAAGCAGATTTAAAAAGTGATTTTCATTTAGATGAAGATGTGTGTGTTGGGGGAGGGGGCGTGTTGCCATATTGTGCACGAAACTCATTAAATAAGGCATAAAATAAATTACTAACCTCGTTGTATTCAATTTGCGGATCTATGTCGTTATCGTCATACATTGGAAATGGACCAAAAAGAGCATTATAATAGAACTTCAAACATTCTTCCAAATTACCAAGTCTATAACGAGGATCGAGAATAAATGCAATACCATAAATATGCGGAATATGTGCATAATATTTTAAAAACTTTTCCTTCATAAAACCACAAAAATAACTCACGTAAGCGGCATTCTCAAATTCATTAAAAGCACCGGCGAGATTAACAACTTCACGAATAAATTCGTTTGAGGTAGGTTTATAAACATGACTAAAACTATCAGTTGCATTATTAAAATGGATCAAAACATTACAAATTTTTCGCAAGTGTCGATGTGAGCGGAGTTTAAAATATAGTTATCATATTGTCTTTAAAAAGTAGGAAAATGTTCTTTATATCTAAGAAGAACTTTAATTAATTTATAAGTACTATTCCATCGAATAGACAAATCTTTAGGAAAAGCAACATATTTCACACCTCTTTCAATCAAATAAGTTTGTCATTTTAATTTAAGTTGACCATTGCCCCAAATACGTCTAATCCCCCCTTGACTACCTCCATAGCATCTCCTAACGCTTTTAGATCGTCTTGCACACATAAATTTATAATATGGCATGCACATCGTTGATGAAAAAATCTACCTATCAAAGTATTAGAACCACACAATTCACGCAATCTAGGTATAGCGGCAGTATTATTTGTAGCATTATCAAAACCTATAGCAAACACCTGATCAATCAAATTATACTCAGTTAAAATACGTTCAATCAAAATATAAATATGTTCAGCGGTGTGACGATCATTAAATTCACGAAAAGCAAGAACACGTTTATGCAAATTCCAATCATTATCAATAAAATGTGCAGTCAGACCCAAATAATCCCAAATGTCAGAACAAATAGTTACACGGCAATCAAAGTTTGCAAAAAAAATTTGTAACATATCTTTTTTCGCACGATAAAGCCTTATAATTTCTTTCTTAACCGTTTTGCGACTATAACTTCTAAATTGAGGATTTAAACAAGTTTGTGCATTATCTTTAAAAGCAAGACGTTCAGAAAACAAATAAGGCAAATTTTCTTCAACAAGTAAGTTAGTCATACCAGTCAAATTTTGTGCATCAGTGTATAAGAAATTGCCAAAAGGTTGGTCATTTGCAGACCTCGATATTTGAGTTTGCTTCCTCTTGCCTTTGTCTATTTTCACATACTCCACAGAGTGCGCGGACTTAAGATGCCTTTTGAGGCTCCCGTATCCGCCGGAAGTTCCCAAACTATACTCCTTCTTGCAATGATCGCAACTTGCGTACCATTTATCGGTTGTTGGGTCTTTCCTCTTTGTAAATTTATTTTCTATAATAGGAGATTTAGATTTCTTACCAACTTGGGATGAACCGCCCTCGTCCTCAAACTCTTGCTCATCATCCGGGGTGACGTGAGTCCCGTCGCCCCCCTCGTCCTCCTCCGCATCGTCATCCTCGAGCTGCTCTTCATCAATGGACTCCAGGATGTTTTGTTGTTGGAAAAAGCGACCATCATTTTGCGTCAATAGTTGTTGTAGTTGCTCGTCGGACATCGCATCCCCATCTCGCCTTTGGTATCCCGTTTCAAAATCTTCTCGACTTTGAGAAGAAGACTCGGCTCGCCCTTTACCTTTGCCTTTGCGTAAACTAGGATGACTTGTTGCAATCTCCTTCCTTCGGTTGCGTTGGAGATTACTCATATCTACGGAATGTCTGCCATGGTCCATCTTTAAAATGTAACAAATATTATATGATATCAAATGTTTTAATATGAGTACAATAGTAATAATAAAATGCGACTAATAAAATTATAGCAAATTTCCAAGAATCCACTTACTAATAAAATTAAGTAGTTTGAAACTTTAATGCAACAATTAACAATTAACTAGTTTTATACTTTTATGATAAATGCAACAATTAACAAATTAACTAATAGTGAAATGAAAAATGTAACAATTAACTACTTTTATACTTTAATGAAAAATGTAACAATTAACTAGTTTTATGCTTTAATGAAAAATGTAACAATTAACTAGTTTTATGCTTTAATGAAAAATGTAACAATTAACTAGTTTTATGCTTTAATGAAAAATATAACAATTAACTAGTTTTATGCTTTAATGAAAAATGTAACAATTAACTAGTTTTATGCTTTAATGAAAAATGTAACAATTAACTAGTTTTATACTTTAATGAAAAATGTAACAATTAACTAGTTTTTTACTTTAATGAAAAATGTAACAATCAACTAGTTTTATACTTTAATGAAAAATGTAATTAATTAACTAAATTAGGATAATGAGAAATGTAAAAATTAACTAATACGATGAATTAATTACTATGAATTCAAGTGTAACTAATAGAATTGTATAACTAATATATAATATAATGTTTATAGTATATAACATATAAGTATATTACTATAAGATGAGTAATACACTTATATATAATACTTAAATATATATAAGTAAATAACAATAAATATAGATAATAAAGTAAATATTAAAAAGATGGAGATGTATAAGTAGATAATAAGTATATATTAAGTAGATAATAAATATTAGTAATATAATATAGGTATACAAGTAGATTATTGTATAACTAATATATAATATATAATGTTTATAGTATATAATATATAAGTATATTACTATAAGATGAGTAATACACTTATATATAATACTTTAATATATATAAGTAAATAACAATAAATATAGACAATAAAGTAAATATTAAAAAGATGGAGATGTATAAGTAGATAATAAGTATATATTAAGTAGATAATAAATATTAG